CAGTTCCAAAAACTCAAACGACGGCTCAAGTAAAGGACCGTCATGCAATCTTGCTAGATCCAGACTCGAGAAGGTACCTGGGTGTGTGTGTGTGTCTGTGTCTGTGTCTGTGTCTGTGTCTGTGTCTGTGTCTGTGTCTGTGTGTGCGTGCTAAAATAACCTTAAAATACACACCCACGGGAGGGTGTATAGATCAGCTATATGCCCAACAAAATAATCATGATTTGTCAGCCAAAGAAACTTCATGGAGCACACAGGTGGGTGTGCCAGGCAAATATGGTACTGCGTGGAGAAGTTGCCACACCCATGGCTCTCAAGTTTTTAGCGCTGGAATGTCCCCTTGCTCTCGTGACCTCTTTGTATCTCATGAAGATCCTCCGTTTGCTTTTGGCTTCCTTCGAAGCAACACTGATGTTCCAGTCATGACCATAAGGGAACACAGGGCAAAATAACTCATCGCCATTTGCATCATGGCCCTGCCCCTTGTCTCGCCTTCATGCCGTAGTAGATCGGCAGGTACAGCGCTGGCATGTACACACCTCTGCTTGAACTGGGTCTTTGCTGCCATTGTCCCTCACAAATCGAGGCTCAACTGGCCCACACAGACCTTGATGATGGTTGGGATTGTAATCCTTCACCGGCTGCTCAGCTCATGAATGAGCCATCCCTCTCTATCCGCTCGGAGAAAGCACAACTCAGAGAATCAAGAGATATGTCAAGTTGTAACGCAGGGGACTCTTTGGCACAGAGGTGACACGCTGACATGTTGTCAACGTGACCCAATGGGCACGACCCCGTTTTGACCCTCGAGTTCCACAATACAGGGTGGTCCTGTTTACACCACCTCATTGACAAATCTATGCCCCCAACCTGAAAGGCGATGGTTTCTCCTCTTGGATGTATGCCAAACTGGTAACAACATTTGGCCAAAGGACGACCCTGTTTCCTTGGAAGTTGGTTCTTCCATATGTGGTCAGAAACTTTGTCGGGGGTCGCTTTGGTGGACATCATCTAGGTATGTAGGGATTCATGTCCAGCAACCACTTGCGAGGTGGTTCATTGCCATATCGGGTCAACATTGTTGATAGTCTATTGGTTTGGGGAGGACGTGCACCAAAATTGGGGTGTCATTTTTCAAGGGGACCCCCCAAAAATGCTGAGTGTTCCTATTGGCTTCCCGTGGAAACCACCAAAAAGGGAGGGTTTTGCCAAAAAAAGACAACCCCAAATGTGGCTTGCTGAGTCAAGGAAACAGTTCCGCGAAGCCAATCGGCTGTGGGCCCCGCCTTGGTCGCCAATCACCTGGCAGGCTAGCGGCTAGCGGAACCCATGCAACCCAAACCATGCTGAAAGGAATCTCATTTTGGGAGACCCCTCGGGTGCATTCCTTGTTTATCTGATCAGAGTACCCACAACAAGACACATTTGGGCCCAAGAATGTGGGCATGTGTCAACATAGGAGACTGTCAAATGGTGCGCTCGGTTTGGCTTCTCTTTAAACCAACCTGAAAAAGGTACCCTCTGAAAACAAGCCCATTCCAGAGCTAGACCATTTCTGATAGCTGACCGACTAGAACTTGTGGCCCTGGGAGCAGCTGTAGGGATGAAAGGATTTAACCACTAGACCTGAACCGGACCATACCATTAAGTCAAGGATAAACAGCCAATGATATTAATAATATAAAACACTTCAACAAGGGACACATGAGCTTCAAATTCAATCTTTTAACCATTGGATTAACAAGTTGCAAAATCAAGAGTCGTTTAACCTTCAATCCGGGCCCTTGATTAGCTTTACAGGGAAAAGAACAGCCCTGCGGTCTCCCTGGCCAAACGCATGGCTTGGTAGAAAAATGTAAATTCGTTTGCGTTGACAAGTGGGAAGCCCACAAATCAAACATTGAGAGGCTGGAAGTCACTGGGATACCGGGCTCACAAAGTAACATGATGACCCGAGCTACAAAACCAATCTTGCTGGTGCTCAGGGAATGAGGGAATTAAACCATCCCCTATGATTTCCTTTAAGGGAATCCCCAGGTTCATTCCATTTCTCATTCCCTGAGCACCAGCAAGCAACAAGTCTTGAGAACCCAACATGGTCCCAAGTGACCCACAGGGAATCTACCGAACCCAGCCCAAAAAACTCAACAACTCCCCTGCTGTGCCTGGAAGATCACGGCCCTAATGCCCGTGAGGCCGGTCGCCTGTGCTCCCCGGGATACAAAACAGATTTGGACGATTTCAGCTTCCAGTTAGTTGCAGTTAGTTGGATTGGTGGTTTCACCAAGGGTTGCCTATGTGACTATGTGGCTTGCCGTGAAGCGCACGAATCGAATAGTCGTCATTTGCCCCCACACCTGAAAACCCAAGGTTCGGCTTTTGAACCTACGGTCCGCAAGGCGAACCCGGAGATAAGGTCCATCCGGACCGAAGTGAGCCTCTCACTTGTGTTTTCTACACCGAGTCAACATGAAACCTTGCTTTCTTTCTGCGATTTGCAAAAGGCACCTCAAAGGAGGCTCAACATGGAGACGATTCAAAGGACTGCGCGTGACAAAGTTGGTGGCCTCGCAGACGTGGTTTCTGCTAGACTTGTTGCCAGGGAGTGACATTACGGCAACAATTGGGCATTGCCCAATCGCAAACATAAGGGTCCCCTTTCCTTCATCGACTACGTAGCCGAAGCTCGATTCATGTCGATTCTATTTCCATTGAGCTTCCACTTAGGTTCATGGGAAAGCTACCCTCATGGTTGCCTCATGGTGGCAAATCACCCTTTCTATGATACCGTGGATGACACCTTGCAACTGTTGCGATAAACCAACCACCTACCAGCTGGCGCCATATTCTTGTCCATCCGCGTATGAAACCAAAGTGGGCATCTCTCACCATCCCGTGGAAAACTCCGCCCTTTCACCACAAGAACGCCAAGGAAGCTGCTTCCCAGGCCCATTTGTGCCTGCAACATCATGGGCCAAAAGCTGGTGTAGATGAAGTGCTGCGCAAAGCCCACAAAGCCGAGGCCAAAGGCACCTCAAGGAGTGGAGTGGAGGAGAGGCAGGGGAGGAGCGCCAAAGAGGGCTTTCTTTTCAGGGTTTTCGAGGAGGAAGACTTGCTGGTTTCCCCAAACGATGTTGTTGCGTTGAGACTCAACCGGGGTTTAACCACATCTTGAGGCCTGGCAAAGGCTTGAAGAGGATCAGCTCCCACAGGTGGGAAGGACCTGGGGCTGCGTCAAAGGCATGACTCCACAGAAGGAATCATTTGTGGCTTGCCTGACCCCCATGGGAAAATGGGTCTCCCAAAACAGGGTTTCTTCATTGACGCAGGGCTGCGATTAGAATTGGAGACGAAAGCGATTGAAAGGAAAAGCAGCTTTGCACCAAGACAATCCCATTTAAGCCATGTGATGCGCCTTCAATCTTGCAGCTCTGCCTAACCACGCAGCTAACTCCGCTATGACCTATCTCAGTACTTGCAATCATTTGCACGTTTATGTAAATCAGAGACAAACCCAACGTGTCCGAGTCACAAGACAGGGTGGCCTTTCGATCATGCTCGGAATCGATCTATTTGGTTTCCCCAATGGCTACGGCAGATAAAAATATGGCTACGGAATAGAGCCGAGAGTCACTAATTCGATGCTGATCATGCAATCACACACACTCACCATTACATTGTGGCTCAAGGCCCTTCTTTGACTCAGACTCGAGCATAGATAGACGCCATAGAGCGCAATAAATCTACCAGGGACTTCCAGTTCACCACAATCCATCAGACATCAGGCTCTTATCTTGAAACAGATCCAGGGGCACTAAGACTGCTACGTATCTTCTCCTTAGGGATTAGTTCCCCCCCCACCCAGGAAACCGAGGCAGATCATCCCCCAACTGGCCAGCAGTGCCCGGAGTTGGTTTTACATCACTGACTTGCAGAAGATGCTTGAATCCACGGGCAATTGCTGGCCGTTGAGCCAACATGTTGCTAAACATTAATGCAAGGATGATTCTACAAGGATTCAGCTTCTTACAGTCCTCCGACGCTACCAGTCAAAAGGCGCTCTTACCGCCTTTGACAATCCAACCAAGTCAGCCATGTTTCCCAAAACAAACACAACTTCACACCAGCGCAAACCGTGTGGATAACTAAAGTCCCTGACCAGCGTCTCTGTGATTGTTCATATATCATCACATCTCAACAATCCTCTCAGCATCCTCCCTTACAAGCTCTTGGGTTAACTCATTGACAACTCCTGGTTGCTCCCTCGGATGGTTCATGGACGCATAAGGCCCACTTCATAAGCCACAAACAAAGCATGTGGTTTCCCAAGATGACATAGGATGATTCGGGTGTCCTCTCTCAGATCAAGCCCAGACTTTCAGTGACAATGTCCATTGCTCACATGAACCACGGTCAAAATTACTTTACCCAAGACATTGGACATATCGTCAGCTTTCTTTGGGGAAATTTCGCGAGTCTCCGGTGGGCCCAATCAACCATATACTACTTGGTTGGTTTCCCTTTGATCGCTGAGCTTCGCGGTGCCCGGCAATATTCCCGGACGCCGGCAGATGAACCACATACTAGAAATGTTGACCGAATGTCACATCCGTGAGCCCGCTCACGGAGACCCAGCGGCTTAAAAAAGGAGGCGTGCCATGGTGAACGCTGTGAGTCCTTATCGTGGTTGCCTTTGCAGGAATCCTTATGTGTATATATACATATATAAACATATACACACAAATGGTCAACATATATGACTAACATATATATATATATATGTATATACAGTGGTTGTTTAAACGCTGATTAAAGGGTCGATGATCATCCTTGCCCAAGCAACCTCTCCTTTTGACTTCTGACTTCTGGCACTGGTCAAAGCCCTTGCAACCATTCCCCCCCACGGCCCATGATTCTAGACAGGGGAATTCCCCGATGCAAGTGGACCACATCCAGCTACAACACTTCTGAGCATTTCTGGGTGCTCCCTTTCTTCAGGGTCACTCGGTACCTGTACAGCCCAAAGGACAAGCTGGGGCCACTCAAGGGACATGCTCAAAAAATTGCCTTTGAGCTGGTGGGTTCAAGGGATATACATTTCCGTCCTTCGACATAATCAACCTCGCATGTCTTGTCTTGGACCGAGAAGCTCATGTAGGCGGTGCGTCGGAAGTCGATTTGCTGCTTCTTCTCGACGGCCTTCTGGATGATCAAATCGCCTGAGCTGATCTCAACTCAAATGAGACATAATCAACTAGGTCCTCCAGTAGAGAGGTTAGAATAAGGGTACCTATTTTTAGACTAATTTGGTAGGGGAACCCTCCCCCAAAAGAGGGTGAGAAAGGGCACTACTGGAGGACCTAGCCAAAACCTGTTGACGTGGCAGGCGCACCCATTTGAACAAACCTCTTACCAACCTTCAACCCAAGGTGGATGGGTTCCTTCTTGGTGGAGCCATCCGACATGGGTTCCCCTTTTTGGACATATACATTTGCACTTGTTACAATTATTTCCAACACTTGTTCCAAGGCTTGGATCCAAGTAAACGACCTATACATCATGGCGTTCGCGCGTTTTACCCGCAGATCGGTGGAATCGCTCGCCATCTTATGCTGGGTCCGAAAGCCTTCGTTCTTGTACAATACTACGCCTTCGTTCTTGTACAATACTCCCGCAATACCTACTTGTTCTTAGCCAGGAATATGGGTTGATGAACCTCCCAACCATTCCCAACCATTCCCAACCCAGTGGGAAAGGTCACTACTCCCTGACAACAAGAGGGAGGGGACCCCACTTTTGACCAATGCATACCTAGTGATTCCATTTCCCTGTATAGTAGGCAACCAGGGGAGCACTTCAAAAAACCAAGAGGGGCTGGTTAGCTACCAGAGCGGCTCGCGTGGGATCCAGTGGGATAGGAGGGAAAGCAAGCGGAGTTTAGTCCCTAGCCACCTTTGGGCTATCTGGTCCAACCGAAGCCGCTCTGATTGAACGGCCTTCACCTCTAAGTTTTCTAAGGTTCACCAAAGTGCCGGAAAAACAGAAAGCACACTGCGGAACTAAGGCAGATAACCACCCCTGCCCCTTGTGCTATGGCCAAGACGCCTGACATGGGCCATGGTCACGATTAGAAGTGCTGGTTGTCCTCGGCCTCTCTTGATCCATATCCCTACTTGTAGTAGGCCACAACCAGGCTTATAAGTGGGACAACTGCAGTCCTGCCTTTCCTAAGTTTGGCAGTTGCCTTCCACCGAGGGGCTGGTGAAGAGCATGACGAGCCCGGAGACGCTGCCTCAGTGTCTCAGTGAAACAGTTGTTGGACATTAAAATTATTTTTTTGTTTGTTTCCGCCGGGGGGGGGGGGGGGGGGGGGGACTACTTCAAAACCAAGATTAGTCATGATTCTAGGAGTAAGATATGAGGAGATATGAGTATGTGTCTTTCCTTAGACCTCACTTACAAATCAACAAACGTGCTCTCTGTCATCCCAATCAACCAGGGAGTTGTTTGTCATATGTAAAACCATGGTGATGTGTTGCCCGTATATAATTGTTTCACACCTGCTCGAAATACTTATTTATCGGACCTCATATCCCTTCCGAACTGGGAAGACCAAAGTAGATCAACATTATTGTGTCATGATCATGGTTCCTGAAAAGAACCCTTATCATCATTGTCTTAGCTCCCTATCAATAGGCGGATGAGCTACCGTGCCAGCAATTTCCTCTAAAGGGTCTATAACCATCCTTCACAACCCCAGGTCGCACGCATGTGTATATATACATACCGGGTTCGAGCGGGGCAATATGTATATATGTATATATATATATACATACATTTGTGGGGTTACACAAGGTCTACATCCGCCACAGGGGCACGCAGCTGGCTTTCCTTAGCAAGGCCTGCTGGCATTGCGGCTTTGCCCCAGCCTTGTAACTCGAAAGGATATAAGTGTCCAAGCAACATGAGCAGAGCCCAAAACACATTTGCTGTTGGTTCTGCCAAGATGGCTATAGAGGCTTATTATGCAGGCTACAACCACCTACTAAATTGGCCAATCCGGTTTCAATGGTAACCAACCAAGCATGCGATGTTTCAAGGGAACTGGCCAAGCACAAAGTCCCAAAAGGAAAGCCCGCTTTCAGGTGTCAGGTCATGTTTAGAACCACCAAACAATAGACTAGGTAGGGATCCCGGAAACAGAGAAAACCGTTGAAAACCGAAGGACAGCACCTGGTTTGCTGTGATTTGGCTTGCTTGTTTTCAGGGAACCCATCAAAACCCAGACCTGGCGATTAAGCAGTGCAATCCAACGAAACTGCCGCTTTTGGAGGGCCAAACAAGGGAAATTGAGGGGCCGCTGTCAAAAAACCAAACAAAAAAAGAATGCCGAACCCAAAACGGCGGAGGTCCGAGGCGCTGGAGGTGATGGGTCTGCTCCGGAACCAGGCCCCGAGCTTCCCCGCATATTGGCGCAGGCCCTGGGGCTCCGATCCATTCAAAGCGGGGATGCCAGCAGAGAAGGCTAACTTCGGATGAATCAGAGGGACCTACTTGCAGGAACGCCCTTAAATGGATCATTTCCCTAAAGGAACTGATCTTAGGCCTGCCGCTACTTTGTCCTCACACGCCATGCGTTTCATTGTCAAACGAGAAAAGTGTTGGACTTGGGGAAGAGCTAGCGGCCAGCATTGGCAGCTCTCTTTGCAGGCGCATTTCGTCATACCAACTTGGCGAGCGTACCCAGTGTTGTCCTCTTTACTAAAGTAAAGAATCTAGAGGACAGTAAGTGTTGATTGCTCATGTTAGGCTTCATGCAATTTTCCGTTGGTACAATTTGCCAGCCGAGCCGCCCTGGACAATCAAAGTGAACATGTGGCCTTGGGCACATGGCCATGGGCGAAGGCCATACATCCAGCCTCGAAATGGATCTAGTGATCCTTTGTTCCATTCGTGTAAGAACAAGCATGTCTTTGCAGGTCTGGACAACCAAGGGGTACCCTTTGGTTGTTGCCTGATGTTCAAACAGCAACTAACCTTCTTCCACTCAGAAAAAAATGCTGATTGAACATCTAAGGGAACCCTCCAATTTGGATGGCGCGTGAGAATTCTGCCCATGGCAAAGCCTCACTTTGGAATCCAAAAGCCTCTCTTCCACTCCCCAGACCAACTCGACGCCACATGACATGGGCATCCTTAGAGGTGATGATTCAAACAAAAAGTGATTCAAACCCTTTCAGCCGTCCTTGTTGAGCACAAATGCCCCCCTCTTTTGGGATCCCAGGGAAACATCTCCAAATGTGCGAACTTGAAAACCTCGTTGCCACCTCCCAAACGAGTTCGAACGTGCAATCCAAGTCGGTGGGCAACCCACTGGACAAAATCACGCGCCGTTTAGGGGTTCGATTCCTCTGCCTAAACATGCGTACTGTAATCAGGTTTGTCTCTAATCAGGGGAACTTGCATAATTGGCACCGTTGATCTGAGCTCAAAATGGGATAAACGCCGTTTCCCTTCGAAACAACCCCCAAGGATGCCAACTCCAAAAAAGCAGGCGCTAAAAAAAATGAAGAATCGGAACAATGGGACCTGGACCTCGAAGAATGCAAGCCTGCAAAGCGCCTTGCAAGACTGGGACGGGTCCCATGCGCCACCTCCCACCTATGACCAGAATTTGGCGTACGCGCTCAAAGTAGCGAGCCAAAATGGAAAGGTTGGAATGGTTCCCGAGATTGGGAGTCCTTCCAATTGCCAAAGCAAAAACTTCTTTTAGGCCTACCCCCAACTCACGACACACCTACCACTGGAAGAAAGTGGATGGCAGGATCTCTTCATGTTGACTTAGTCATCTTTACTTACCTGAAGGGAATTGTGCTATCCATGTTTCCACTACTGGATTGGTTGAGTCTTTCAAGCTAGGATGGTAGGAAAATGAAACCCCGAAAACTTCTTTCAGGCTGGGCCCCGAAAAGGACCCCGCCTGTCCGACCCGCTTTTTGACCTCCACTGCACCTTTTGTTTTATGGACCCAAAAAGACATGTTCGGGAACAAAACAACACCCCCCATTCAACCCCAGTTTGTTCATGGAGTGTCCCGGGGTTTAGTGGGGAATCATCACATTCGGAGGGAAACACCGAACACCCCCCACCCCCCAGCCCCCACACCCCCCAGCCCCCACTCCCCACTTAATAAGCAGGGCTTGCTGACTATGGGGTCAGCACTAAATGGACGACAGCCCGCCTGAAGGCGGCTGCTCCGCGCCAGCAGCTGAGCCTCAAGGCGACAAGCTCAAAATGACCCCAGCGATATGGTAGTTGAAACATGTTCCTGTTTCGAAGAAGAAAAACAAACGGTCTTCGCGCGCATGTTTTTTTTTGTATAAAAAAAACCGCTTTCGCGAATGTCGCCAAGCTCTTTCGTTTGCAGCGTGCGGTCTGGAGCCAGTTGGCTGGTGCAGTTACGCCAACACAGTAACCAAGCGGCAACTTGCTCTGGCAGGCCTACAACAGGGTTAACTGAAAGCGGTCAAGGCAAGCTTGCCGGGACTGCTCCGTCCTGGGCCCAATGTGCGGAATCAAACCCCACATATACATGTCCACTTGGAGCGCAGTCCGGGACCCCGAAAACCGCTCACAAGCACATCCAACCATACACAAATCCCCGCAGGTTGCAGCAAACCCCATAGATTGCAGTAAACCATCATGCCGTGTTCTGTGCCCCCGGATAAAACAACATCTGGTTCAAGCCCAGTTGTGTATTCCCAAAGGAGCTTCCCTCCGAATGGTCATGGTCGTTGAGCATCAAAGAGTTGCCCTCCCACGTTGCCATAGAAGAGAAGCGCGCGGCGCGTGGAACAGCATGTTCAACTTGCTTAAGTTGTTTTTTCTTGTTCAAACAAAAGTAATAACTAGATACAAACATGGTTGTCTTGTTCAACAAACATAATATATATATATATATAAATAAACCAACAAAAACAACAACCTCTTTGGGTTTTGCATTGCTCGGCGGACGCTTCGGAATGGACTCAAAGGCGCCTGCTCCTCCTGCCACTGCCGCTGCATGGTGCTATACACCACGCTCCAGCGATCAGCTTTCGGAGGCGCCTTGAAGAGCCTCAGCCTGCGAGAAAACCCACAGCGCCTCGGCACCCACAGCGGCGGTTTTTTTCGCCCCCGAAAATCCGGCTGTGAGAAGGGGTCGATGGGAACCAAATGAGCTGCCTGGGAGGCGGCCGAGCTGCCGGCATGCGCTTTGCGGCCAGTGCCTGGTGTCCTACGTGGAAAGCCTGGTGTTTCCTACGTGGAAAGCCTGGTGAACCAAGGCAGCTCAGTGGTTTTCAGCGTCCAAGAACCCGCGACAAGAACCAGGGGGTCAAATCAACTCCAATACCAACTAAGGGGTGTTTCCCTTGGCAGCCTGCCTTCGCGGTGCGCAATGTTTCAACCGCGCCAAAGGTATGAAGGTAACCAGCTGGGTTGTTGTCTCTCCGTGGAGTACAAGTATATCATTTCCCAAGATCCCAAGATGCCTCGCCTTCTTGGTCACACATTGACCCACCCCCAGGCCTGCGCTGGACCTCCTTCCAAATGCTCAGCTCCCAGCGCGGGTTGTTCCGCGCCCACTGCGCGGCATGCACTGCGTAGACCGCGGTAGACATGGCGAAAACGCGTTGAGTCCAAGGTCGAGTCGGGCCCCAGGGAACGTGGCAAATGGGGGGCCCCGCAAGGTCAAGAACCCTTGGCTGAAGGTGCAAGTTGGGGGGTCGCGTTTGCTGTGCGTGAAGTAGAGTGAAGCCCAGTTTGTTTCGCCGCTTGGATGGAGCAGTCGGCAGCTGAGAAAAAGGTTGAGCCAAGGACGCACCTTGAGATCTTGGCGAGACCTCTTTGCAGGTAAGCTTCCCTCTGGCCCTCCGTAAATTGCTTCCCCTAGTTACGGTCCCCAAGTGATAAAATACAATTCCGGAAGAAACAACGTATTTCTCAATTGATATGGTTTAGCGGGGTCGCAGGTGGGGGAGTCCGCTTTGGCGCTTTAGTCCTTGCCCAAACGTGGTCCGTCCTCCCTTTGGGCTTCAAACTCCGTTCAAACAGCAATTTGCTAAGTGATGTTGGAAGACTCGGGGCCTGTAAAAAACGTCGAAACGTTGAAACTCTAAATCATGCATCATTGAACTCGGGCGTCTTAGCCAAGCTCTCCTGTGGCACGTTGAAAGTCGAAGCCAGGAATCGATCCGCCGATCCAAGACAGCCGAGGCAGGGAACCCAAAAGTCAAGCGAACTGCGTGGCGCTATGGTTCTGCTTTTCAAGCTTCTGCTCACTTTCGTTCTGCTTGTTTGCGTTGTCCTGGTGAATCTTCTGGTGCTCGGGCGTGCGCAAGTTCTTTTTTTTAAGATATATATATATATATGTTTAAAACAAAAAAAAAGCGTTGAGCTTTGCAGCTAAAGCGGCAACTTCCTTGGTGCACCTTCAACTTCTTAAGCCAGGGTTCCCTATGACTCCTTTAGAAAAGAATATCACCCACGAAAAGGAAACAATGAACCCCGTTTAAATTGAGCACAAAAGGTGATGTGTTTGTTTCCCAAAGAGGAAGTATAGATCCCTGTAAGCAACTCATCCAAGTTGATGTCGTGGCAATCTGTGCTGGAGCCGGCTGTTGTCGCAATGAGGGCTTTTATCTGACTTTATCAGTTGGGATCCCTTCTGGCTCTCATTCGGGGGGCTGTCAAAACAGGGTCCGAGATTGGAACCTGGTGCCTTCTTGCGCAGCCTCGTAAAGGGAATACGCCAAATTGCCGCTGATTCTGACAACCCACTCTTGCCCTCTTTGGGACCCCATTATTGTTGCTGCTGGTAGCATGCAAGCAAGTCTCACCGTGTTGTCAGCAACTTGAAGCATGTGTGGAATCATGGGACATTTGATTGCAGTGTTGTTTTGTTCTGTTGCGTGTTTGAGCAAACACACGACAACACATATCTTCGGGGATGTCTAGGCTGGTTTTGGGCGTAGCAACTCACCCGAAGCCTAGGCTTCCGTTGCCTCGGCAAGCCGGTCCAGCACCGCATTGGCTGCTCCGTAGGCCCCTGCGCGAGGCGTCGAAGAGCGACTTGCCGAGGGGAAGGAGCTGCAACCACAGCGAGGCGTAGTGATTGATTTGATTGTTTTTCTGGGTGCTCAGTTGTTTTCATGATGTTTATGCATAGGTTTTAGTGCTTTGTATGAAGAACCCTTCATTGTAACCTGAAACTTCAGAATTGTTTTATTCTTTGCAAATGTCCGTTGCCGCCCTGGTCCCTGGCCCATGGCCAACGGACCCGCGAACGAACAATGGAGACCTTTTCTCCAGATATGGATCAAAGCTGGGGGAAAGGTCAACAGGCCGGCTTTCAGATTCACAAGCTGGAAATAAGCAATCCCTAAGCTACTCAGGAACCTTCGTTAGGGTCATTCTATTTCATTCCGGGGCTGAGAGTTCCAGGGCGAACTGCTGGGTGCACCGACCCAAACCGATCCACACTGTGAAAAGCTCAAAGAGAAAAGATGCCCAGACAATCCAGGTGTCATATTTGGCAACATGCTTCTGAGAAGCCTTGCAGTATATATATATATATGTATGTATGTATGTATGTATGTATGCAGGTGTGTATATATATATATGCACATATATGTATATATATATATATAATATATATATATATAATACACATGTCCGCCTGCCCGCTGCCGTCCGATGTCCGGCTCTTTCCGCCTTGCCCAGGCGCGCCCAGCAGCGACACCACGGAGGACGCGAGGCAAAAGAAGTCCGTGGGCCTGACGTCTCGGGCGTAACGTGCATGGAACTGTTCCTTGTGGATTTCTGGGCTAGACATGGCTAGACTTAGACACCCCAAACTTTTTGTTAATTGAGTTGAATCAGATAATTCTCGGTAGTTGCGGTAGTTGCGTGATATGACATAATGATAGTAGGCAAGCCAGGTACTTGCGGCTCCTAAAACACCATTGCCATAGGAAGCAAGCCAAGAGCGAGGACACAAGGCTGACAGAACTTGGAAATACTGGGCCTCTCTTTTCACATGGGTCGTTCCCAGCTTTTGACGACCAATTGGCAAAGGAGACATCAAAAGTTGGCCCAAGTTCTTGGAAAGACACTTTGAGGGATCCGACCTGCGCCACCAGCAACTACACCCACTTCCAGGGCCCTTCACGAGCGGATTCCCATGTGCGGGGTAAGGCCCTGGGACACTCCAGCTTTCTGGGTGCACGAGGGGGAAAACGCCACCTTGCTGCAAGAGGCGCTATTTACTCCGGGAAAGGGGAAGTCTAGTACATGTGGAAGAGCAAACAACAACCGGGCAACAAAGACAACCAAATCAGCAAGGTTAGACAAACAAACAAACAAACGAAGAAATCAGGAAAACAAACGAATAAGGAAAACAAACGAATAAGGAAAACCACCAAAGACAAGCGGCACAGAAGCCCTTGGCGAAGCCGCCCGGAGCCGTCACCGCGCGTTTCTTTTCGAGAGGATGTCTGGCCTCAAGGCACAGCCGCAGGCCTCCCAGAGGTGCCGCGCACCGAAGACCTCGAGGCGAGGAATTTTGGTCGCCCCTAAAAAGCTAAGGGGATGGCTGGGAGCCACCAAGTTTGAGCATGTCTTCAATTCACAGAGGAGAGGCATCTCAACCTGGGAAAGCAAAAGGTGTTGTTCAACAACAACCTCGCGGAGCTAGATACGGTTTGGAACTGGTGGCAAATGACGGGTGTCCGATCTACCCCTACATTCCTCAAGGGAATCATATAAACTTTCCGACCAAGAGGTGGTGTTCCAAAAACGGGAGAATTTGTGTCCAACTGTTGGGTGTCCGATCTACCCTAAGTTTCTGAAGGGAATGATCTCAACCTGGCAAACAATTGGGTGACGTTCCCAACCGTAACAAGAAAAGGAATCGCTTCCAAATGACAGGTGTCCAATCTATCTCTACAAGTACATTCCCAAAAGGGATTCACATCAACTTGGCGAACAATGGGTGGTTCAAGCCGCCACAAAGAAAGAAATGGTTTTCAAGTGGTGGGTGTTTGAACTCTAGGGGGATCAACGGAAGGACCCCCCCGCCCCTGAAGGTGGTGGGGATGCCCGGAGATTTCCTCATGGTTGTCAAGTTGAGACGGTTTCCAACAGAAATGTCAGGGTAGATCGGACACCCGTCATTTGGAACGGATGCCTCCTTTTGTGCCGATTTGACACATCACCTGTTGGTTGTTTCTCTACATTCCTGCGGGGCTTCTGTGGGGCTCGCACGTTTTACCGCCAGAGCCAAGATGGTGGCTAAGGGTACCAGAAGAGAGAAGTTTTCTCAACATATGGGGACTCCAAGAATAAGTGGTTTCCCTTCAAAGCCTCTTGACGCAAGGTACTTCTCGAAGAATATGTGGAAGTGGGTTCCCATCCCTGAGCCTAGAACTTCACTGCTCCAAATGATTAACCGGTTGGAGGCTTGTGTTGGACCACTTTTTGAAGCTCCCCACAAAAACCGACAAATTCCTCTGGGGTCACTGCTTAGCCTGGAAAGTTGAACAAGGGACCAATCTCCATTTGGTTTCCTGCAGAGGGAATTGACAATTTGATGTAGACTGACAACTCCAATTGTTTTGTCTATTTCAGTTTTCCCCGTTAGTGCGTTTAGGGTGAATAGGTGCTCCCAATGTTGGCCTTGTTTTAAATCTGCCATGGTTTATGTGCTTGAAGCAAGAATTGGACCCCAACCAAAAGCCCTATTGCGCTTCGCGCGTTCTACCCGATCGAACCAAGCAGCCCAAACCAAAATCAATCCAAAACCGGGGAACTCCATGTAGAATAGCCCAGATGCAAATATATGGTAGGACCCCCCTCCAATACCTAGCAAATATGTGTATACATGTATATATATATATATGCATATATAATATATATAAAAATAGATATGAATATAAATATATGAATACAAATATATAAATATAAATATATGCTATACATATATATATATATATATATAAAATCTAGCAAGGCCTGTCACCCCAACCGCACGGGAACTTGCGAGGACGCGCCTTGCCGGAGAAGCAGCGCCTGAAGTGCTCCTCCCGGAGCTGTGAAGACCTCGATCGAGCGGGGCAAAACCCGATGGTTTTTGGAATATATGGCCATGGGTCGAAATCCAAATCGTACCTCCAGTGAACATGCCAATCCCAAAAAATGACTAAATTGGGTGGTGCACCTACCCCAAAATGGTACCATTAGTTTTGACCCACAGCCATATTTGGTGTGTGGCGCGCTTTTTTGTTCTTTTTTTTTTTTGGGGGGGGGGGGGACCCGGTTTGAAGGAAACCAAAAAGAAACTACCATGGTTGGGGGGTACTCCAATTTTTTGTTGCATATGCGTATGATGAATATATGGGTGCTTCCAAAAGACTCGTGGGGTCCAGCTACCGGGGTGAAAATCTCCGGCGGGACTCGAAAAGACGGGACATTCGGCACGCTTCTTGTCTTCGCTCCAAGTCAGGAAGTTGCTGCTTGGACGCCGACACGCGCAGTAGAAGAGAACGTATCGGACATGTTTGCAACAAAAGATCAGCGGTCATTACGTTGAAAACTCTCCCTGGAAATCCCTTCCGAAGGTTTCCGCGGAACGCCTCACGAGGTTTCGAGCCTTTCGAAGGTAAACTTGGGCCGCGAAAAGGGTGCGCAAGCTGAAGATTCTCCGTCGGGTTCCAGGTCATATTTTCATGGTTTTGCTAGAGGGTAAGTTTGGTTCTGTCGGTGTGTGTGTGTGTGTTTGTTTGAGGGCACCCTTTGTTGGAGCAGTGTTAAAGGGAAACCAACAGGAAAGCCATGATTTTGAGGGAACGCCTAAACACACACTGGGGCAACCCCACAGCGCATCGGCGAGCTCGCCGGCCCAGTGTAGCACGCCTCGGTGAATTGGCCCCGCATGCCAACGACTTTTGGCTCCATAATGCACGGGTCGAAGTAGTTCGAATGGGATTGTGGAGGACATTTACACCAAGTTGGCTCATGTTCATGGAACAAAGGAATAAGGGAATAATGGAATCATGGTGTAGTTGTACCCCCAAACATTGTTTTGCAAGTGTGTGTGTGTGTGTGCGCCGAAACTTCCTACAATCCTTATCACGCCAGATGTCAAAACCCAACAGGGGATCTCCAAAAATACAGAGGGATTCAAAGCCTTCCGGCTCATTTCCGCGAACCCTTTAGCAACCCTTCTGCTTGAAGTCATCGATCCAACTCTTGCAGCCTCGGGGCGTCTAAGACAAAGCTCCTCTGAACCGTAACTTCAAGAATCTTTTGGGTGGGTTCCATTTCATTCGGGGGGTGGGAATACACCCTGGGATTGCGGTCATTGGTTCAACACCAGGTTTATCAGATGGCCAGGAATGCGGCACAAGTTCCGGGGTGCACTACAGAGCAATTGGCGGTTGGTTTCACCAAGATCTTCACATGGCCTCCCCAACCATTTTGGCAAAACCGCTACGTACCGAAAATGACCAACTTGCAGCTGTTGGTTTTTGTCAACAGATTAACGGAAACACCAATTGTGTGTGTGTGTGCGCGTGTGTGTCTTGTTTTCTTGGTTTAACAAGAAAACAGAAACTGGAACCCCTTTTCGAAGAACCCCATGTTTGGGCTCCCATATCTGAAAAGGCGGCCCTCTGCTCTTCCTGGCCCTTGCAGAGAGTCTCGATTCGTTTAAGATAGGCCAGATCCACGTGCCTGCTGAATCATTAACATTATATACTTCCATTTGCTTAAGCCCCTTCGAAAAAATATGTCCAGTAGTGATATATTCCCTTTAAAACCAACAATGGAAAATATATAATAGTCTTAAGCAAATGGAAGTGTATCATACTGAGATCGAGGCTCCCGACTGCCAAGATCAGAGGGCAACAGCTGCAGCACTTTCCCATGTCGCCGTGTCAAGGTTCGCTGCAGGAAATGGATTCCACTTCTGCCATGCCACCAAGTGTGCAGCACGAAAAGCGCTCGTGCAGAACACGGAACCCCGTAAGGGGTCTGAACGAAGATTCCGCTACCAACGGATTGTGTTTTAGCTCCATCATTCGTCTGCGGGAGGTTGTCTCCTGTGCTACCTCAGCTTGTGGCCCCAAAACCGAAAAGGATACGTTTGACTTTGGTCCATGTCTAGTGAACCTGAAAAAGCTGAACCAATCAGAAGATTTCACCCGCTTTAGGGCAGATTGGTTTGGTGACAGAAGTGGAATCCTCCTACCTTCCCGCAAGCCTGGCAGCTCGGGTTCGAGCGGCGTGCTTACAAACTGAAGTCTTGAAGGCATCCCCCCTGTTGGAGAAAGCCGGACAGCCTGCAAATCGCGCGCCGAAGTTCGGGGGACGTGGACCGTATTGCAAATGTTGTTCTTTGGGGTTCCCCATTCAAAGGCACATTCCAGAAGCTGAGACTCAGATAAACGAAAGGGAGTACCGGGTTTGTGCAAAAAGTTTAACTTGTCGGTTCGTAGGAACATATACATTTGCCCCAACTGTTGAATGTGAAGGTCCGAAGGAAACACAGGCAACGTGTCCAAATAGGGACTTGGACCCCAAAGAAGGAATTCGTCGTTTGGACCCAGTGGCCGCTGGGTCTGGGCTCCGGATTGTGGCCGGTTTCCCCTTTGTCAGCAAGGAAAGGCTCCTACCTTTGCAGATCCTGCCCGGTCCAGCCTATATCTGGAATATGAGCTTGAACATTTGTCCAGCTGGAAACCTATAGTCTTTTAGAAAATTCTACTATGTCCCTGACCTCACATTTGTCTAGCGAGCTTATCGGACATGGCTGGTGCATGTCTAGCTTTTCTGTCAGTGTCTGTCAGTCTAATATGTTTAGCTTTTTCCTGGTAGATCTCCGGCTGTTTTGTAAATGAGTAGCAGTCTACGTAGCATGTGTCCAGCATGTCTGGCATATGTTGAGCATATTGTTGCGCATTCCCAGCATGCTTCCAGCGCATGTATGGCATATGTGTACTATATGCGGCTCCGCGCAATGGTCAATGGCCCTGTTGAGTTTGATTGCGGATGGTCAGCAACTGGGGACCAACAAACAGAGATGGGTGTGGCTCAAAATTAAACAGGAGGGGCAAACCGCAGGTTTTGGTTCATGTTTCCACTTATCAGGGTAAACCAGTTTGGAATTACGGGCTTTTTGAGCGACAGCCAGATGACCATGCCGCAAATTGAATCTTTGGCCCAACGCCTGGCGCGGGCCTTCGCTTTAGGCCGGACCTTTGGGTAAAGATTTGGCCCGGTCTGGGAATAAAATGCAGGGCAATGCCGGCGTCAACCTCCTTTCTTGGTCCAAGTTTGGCTACATTGAAAATTAGGTGTTTCAAGTTCTGCTTCATTTAGTCAAAAAAAGCACGTGCCCCAGAGGCGAGAAAGGATCAATTGTCTCCCAGCAAGACTTGACAGGTGCTGGTTTGGACCATTCTACAAGCGACTTTCTGGTGGATTCCATATTTAGCGGGAGCGCTGCTTTCTTTGCTGGTAAAGGGAAGCCCACAAGGCACAGGGTGCCACTGAGTGACCAAAGCCTTCTGTCTCCATTCCAAACACCAATATCCCATGGGTTCAAAGATCAGTCATCTACCCCTGCGTTCTGGGCGTGAAACTCCTTTTCAATTCGGGCAAGGCATGAACTTCCGTAACCAGCTTCTGCCCACCCCTGATCAGCAGTCATTGGATCCGCTCAACGGGGCCAATGGTTCAACCGTGCTATCTAACGATCCGAGCGACAGATCTGGGCCTTTGGCAAGACGGGATCCCCTCTGCAGGAAAATATGTACATGTACATGTGTGTGCGTCTCATGCAACCATCAAACTATAATAAATATGGGTACGTACGAGTGCACGTGTATACCTATATTATATATATATATATGTGAATATATGTTCCAACATCTGAACAATGCTGCGCACATGCGCACACACACACACAGACACACAAAGAGCGTGTAAGATAACATAGACAAAGCTACGTTTTGCAATTAAGGGAAGCATGCTTCCGGTTCCGTATTGCCACTCAAATCCTTTAACTTAGTCTGCCCATTGTCTCAAGCGCATGTCTTGGGGATGCGTTTAAGCAAAACCAAAAGGGAGCCATCCATTTTTGGTTTCCTTCCTTTGGAGACAAACCCAAAGGGTCCGTGGAATGGTACCGAAGGTTTCAAGCAAGGCGAGCAAAGGATTTGAGGGCGCGCCAGAGAGCCGTTCGGAATGGGTCTGAGGGGATCGAGCCTGAGACCTACGCCAAGAAACAGCTGGCGCCTTTTGCCGTGCATCGAATTGATCCCGGACTCAAGCCAAAAGAGGGGTTCCGTCGTCTGAATGACTCGTCGTCCCCAGAACACTAAACCCCAAAGTGAGGGGCCTTTGTGGTTCCAGGGTCCATGTCTGGGGTCCGAGCCCCTTCCTTCAGAAAGGAGGCTCAAGTTTCAAGGCTCAAAGGCCCTTGTGCTGCAAATCCCCTGCCGGGCCGGCAGGTTGTTCAGGGTTCCACCTGGAAAGCTGATGGCTGCGTTTTTTTCCCCTTGACACCCTTTCTGGGGAGACAAAGTTGGACCCCCTCCAAGAGGGTTCCCATGCGCTGTTCCCCAAACAGGGTCTCTAAACGGCAAACTTTTCGCGGCCAAAGGGGAAAGCGTCCCCGCTTTGCTTTCTGGCCACATTTTCCCAAAGGGCGGGTCCCTTCATTGGTACGTTTTGGAACAGGGTATATAGGCAGATCAGGTCATAGGGGCTCTGCTGCAAACGCCCTTCGCACGGACAAAGAAGCTGACCTAAATATCACATGCCCGAAACACCGTGGACGTGCGATCAAAGCGGCTGTTGAAACTAGGCACCTTTGAGGAGCTTAAAGGAAACAAACATGGAAGCAAGCAACTTGGAGCGCCATTGGTGTTGGCACATACGTAACTTACATTTTGTTTATTTATTTTTTGTAAATACTCGCCCCCATCCCCTTATCAACCACTTGGGTGCCGTAGATGCCACTAAATAATGGACAGTTGCTATGCTAAAATGTTAGACTACCTTTGAAGCCAAGAAAAAAATGAAAAAACAACAGAACACAATCTGGATGGTTAGAGGTCCCCCGGCCCCTGTCTGACTTGGCCGAGGGCGCAAATTGGGGTCGACCTCCATTTGGAGGCTACCCCTTTATGGCCAAACTGAGGCGGCCAAGTAGGGAGTGCTCAAAGGGCAAACCATTTTAAAGCCTAGATGCTAAAGGCAAACCGTGCGAAGGTGCTCGACAAGGGCCTATGTCTTTGATGCCACATTTATGTTCATGTTTGCCTATGACGGAGCTCTGCACGCCTTTTTTTGACAAAGCGTATCTGAACTAAAAACACGTGAGCCGGGAACTTTGGAAGCATTGGCAAACATCTATAGCAAAGGCCAACCATGCGGTGTGACTCTACGATCTACGTCTAGCTGCAGTTGTCTGGCAGTTGGCCAAACAAATAAGTCTCGCTATCCAAGGTGCCGCCAAATGGTTTCCAGCTCGGGAATAGGCCAACCAAATGTCTAGTCAAGTAACCGTTTGCTCACACCATTGCTGTCCGCAACTTTTGGATGTTTGTCTTCTTCTTGGCTTCACCGCTCACCGAGACATGGTCACCTGCCCCCTGGCTCAAAGAGATCCCCAAACCAGTGCCACGCTCTCAACATAAGTTGTTCACACAACCTCCTGGCTCCGCCCCAGTGGTCAGGGTCTGGTTGTTTAAAGAAATCTTGCCCAACCCCGCCCGGTAGGCCACAAACCTCCGGCGCCTTAAGAGCAGCCGCTTACGTCATGTAGCACTGCCTGCGATGCCGCATGGCGTAGAAGTGAGGACACGTGCGGACAGCAATCTTGGAACTCCCTTCCTGAGTGACTCCTCAGAACAAAGCTCCCAGCACTTCTTGAGGAACCGACTGCAGGAAAAATGTCTTGGAACATTGCCCTTTGATCATGCTGATCTGCAAGAAAGCAACCTAAGTGATACTTGCCCTACATTATGTCTCACGACATGTACAAATAATTGCAAGTGCTGCAGAGACAGCAACAACAACAACAATATGGCAATGAACATTGAGCATCAAGTTTGCGGGATTTGAACATGCTATATATTTGTTGTTGTAAGCAACGAGTTTGTTCTAAGATATATATATATATATATACATATTATGTGTATTTGTATGAAATTAAATATAGATGGTGTTTCTACTATCACATGTTTGCTTGAGTCGAACATATAGGATCCATGTAAAGACTTGCTCCAACATACCCCAAGCTCCTACTTGCTCGCCCAAAAGTCCAGGAAAACCCAACAACTGTGCGTTCCAAAATGTGCCGGAGTACACCTTTATTGAGAAAAACATTTCTGGGGCAGTTGGTAGTTTTTGTTTTAATTCAGCAACCACGCATGCGACGTGTTCGAAGGAGAATACCGAATTGCGAGGTGAGTTTTTGTGTTTGCAAACAACTGGACAATAAGACAGAATGACCCTCGCGCCAGCCATTCGCGAGTGGAACAAGGACGTATGGAGACCACAATTTTCTTGAGGCCCCCCTTGAGAAAAACAAACACATTTCCTCACGACGACTGTCTTTAGACACAAGCTTGACAACTCGTTGGGTGCCAAATACAGAATTCAGCCGTCCCAAATTGGATTGATCTTGCAAAATCAACAACTGGCGAGTTGTGCGCGTTTGGGTTGGGACAACGGGAGCTTGTTGGTTACTTCGATTTCTTTTTGAATCGCCAGATGGCTACTTGGCAGCCTGCGGACTTGCAAGCACCAGAGGGCTCTCACCTGGATCCGTGGTTGTGCAAGCGAAGCAACTGCAGACCCGAATTCAAGGGTTTGGGGTCATGTTTGGATTGGGAGGCTCTCAAAAACCAAACTCGACATAAACGGGTTTGACAAACGGGTACCAGCTTGCACCAAAGGACACTCATGCTTGTAGCATCCAGGAACCCATTTGAGCCATGTCCAAAACGTGTCGTGATTCCCTATGTCGCATCCCTCTCCTTACGCCGCTTCCTTACGCAGCCTTACGCGCACCGTGCTTTCGCTTACGCGGCACATGGGCTTCAAGTAGGCCTTACGCAGCCCTTACGCCAGAGAGACCGAATGCAATTCCGTGGAAGCGGCTTACGCGAGCACTTTTTCCTTTCACGCAGACGACGAGCCGTGGAGGAAGATGAAGAGGAGGAAGAAGCAGCGAACTTGCGAGTCAACGCATTGTCGTCTCCGGCTTTGGGCCCTTCCAGCTCCCAAGAGCGGAGCTTATCCTAGCGTGGTCTCCAATTGCAAGTCTCCTTCTCGCTTGGCGGGGTCCTTTCTCGCGATGGCGCCGGGTGGAGCAAGGCAGCGCCGTGCGGAGCTGGGGCTTACGCGTGGGCTTACGCGAAGCTTACGCGAGCCTTACGCGGAAGACGCCCAAACATTCCCTAGCTTTGCCTTGTGTAGTAGCAAAGGACAATATTGCTTTCCCAGGCCCAATGGATAGATATAACAAGTACATGACTAATGAGAAACACATGGATATGACAAACAACATGACTGAAGAAACACATAGGATATTCCAAACAACCTGACTGAACAATAACTTACGCGGAATGCTTGCGCGACAAGTTTTTTGACAGTTGCTTACGCCGCCTTACGCCCGTGCAGGTTTTGCTTACGCCACGGGTCGATATGACATAGTCCCTGATAAACATGTAGACGGAGGTTTTGGACGTTGCACATTTGTTGGAACCTATTTAGGGTCACCCAAAACACAGTCCGCAAAATGACTTCCTATGGGAAACAACATGACAGTTTTCGTTGCCTGCCATAAGCCAGCCATCCCATCAAACCCAACCGCCAACAATTCCAAACAAGCTATGTAAAACACTCGAGTATGATGTTTCAGTTGCTGGGCCCTTTGGTGCACATCATGTACATGGTGAACCTGCATTCACCGACCATGTGTTGCGGGTGCTTTCCATTGAAACCTCACGGCAGTGCAAAAGCAGCACCCACATCTTCATCTTGACTAACTTGGAAGAATGCGAGCCCCCACCCCCAACGGTATTTTACATCCCAAGGGAACGTGCATGGGGAACGCCTGCAAATGTGTTGTTCTTTCTCAGTATCCTTGCGAGGTTCTGTCCCAAAGGACACCACCCACCTGTTTTCGGGGTATGGGCGTATGTGCCCAAAGGCCACCCTAAAATTGGGAATTCCTTGGCGTCGCTGTGTGCCGACCCAAGGCTACGTTTCCAAAACACACCCATACAGGGTGGGCGCCAGTTGTGAATACCTCCGTTGGTCCAAGAGGAAACCTTGAGACATGTTGCACGCGAAGCGCAACCAAAAGCAGGGCGGGGCCCTCGGCCTCTGTTGCTCCCAGGACGGCACGGGATAAGTTCCCACAAAGCTCTCGCAGGAGTTGATTCCTCCTTCCAGGTACTCCCTGCTTTCTTACCTAGAAGCACCAGAACCAGTTTGGACCTGGAAATAAAACGCTAAGCATTTGGGTGACCAAAACTGTAGGGGAAAATCAGGTTGGCTTTGGGCAAGTGAACCATCTGTTTCACAGGAGAGGTTCCAGATGAATCTGCAGGAAAGGATGAATGACCAAACTTACTGGGAGTCTACTTTGTTGGCAAGGGTGTGCAAGGCGCACACCATGTCCTTGTGTTTGTCCGGGGCTCAATGGACCATATTACTGGGTAGTTTTGCGTGGGCATTTTGAGGTTCTCAGATATTCATAGGTTCAACCTAAAAACACCGCTTCACCGAAACCAACCTTTAGCCGATAAGGTGATGCTCCAAACCGCCGAAAAATCAACTTCGCACCAGTTTGTCGGTATCAGATTGCAAAAGCAACGGCGCCCTTGTCAATCAGAGCGGACCCCTTTCCAAAGGCATGCAGTCCCACTGAGAACCGATCTGTGCGTAGGGGTTACACATCCCTGGACGTTGCACCCCGAATACTCTAGCCTTTGGCCTGGCTGTCATCATTCTGCCCCGTTCATCATCTGGACGGTGCACGTGCATGCGAACATTTCCACTGCGTACTTCAGCGAATGATCATATTAGCATCAGAAGATGCCATATCTCAAGATTTGACTTGCGCGCAACTGCCAGGACAAAACATGTCCCGTCACCTTGTACATGGAAAGCATGTTTGACACTCATGTCTGCACAATATCCTACGAAGCCCCCTAGGGACCTTCATCATGAGGCCGAGCCCGCAAAACTATCGTGTGTGCGTATCCGTGGACCTGTGGATGGACAATCCTGCACCAGTTGGTGGGTGATTTGTGCATAAAGGGATTCATCCATGCCTGGTGCAGGATCTTGTCCATCCACAGTAGGACACAAGCTGTACTTCCATGCTAAGCATGGGTCCGCTCTGACATCAACTTGCAGAGACACACAAATTGGGCCGGGGCCATGTTTCATTTCCTGGGCGCTGGGTTTTCTTAGCAAAATGCCATAGACTGCCGTTGGGGTTTAAAAAAAGAAAATAATCGGCCCTCTTTGGGGATTTCCGTTTCAAGAAGCCAACAAATGGTGCTCTGACGTCCCAACCTCTGAAAGGAAGGTAAAGTCAATCCTGGATTTATCAACTTGGGTTTATCAACTTGGATTCATTGCAAGAGGGGTCCCCAAAAGCTGTCCAGACCTCCTCTCCAATGGGATGCAAGCACTGGATCAAAATTAGGAGGGGTTGCATGTCAGTTCTTGTTAGTAAGCACATTGTGTAGTTGATAGGAGTTCCCCTCACTCTCACTTTCTCAGTGGATTGGCCAAAAAAAAGTCCGGATTCTGCATCTACCACTAAAATGCTCTTCCCCAAAAGTATGAAGTCCAGGAACTCAAAGTGTGAGGACTCGCAGGGTTCTCCGGAGAGCTGTCCTCCGTCGTTCACCAGCTGGGTGTACTTGGCGCGCCTGGCTGGAGACAGCCGTGCCACAAGCACATGGGCGTGTCTTTTGTGCCCATTTTCACTTGGTTGACGTTGGAAGGCGAGCAAACATTTCAAATTTAGCAGTTAAGTTGGGATGTCCCACTAAACCACAATAAGCAAAAATGTAAAATCTGTCCCAACAACAACCATGTTAAGTGGTTCAAAAGGCGTGTCTGTTGCGTGTGAAGCAGTCCTGCCATTTGGGTATGGGTCAAAATGAAACCACCAGGGTAACGCATGTTTTAGTCCTTGGTTCCATTTACCAGGGTCCCATTTTCGGCACCGGTGTTTTTACCCACTGGCATTTACAAGCACACACTGGATACATCCAACTGACGGCCGCAGACCATGTTCTGTGGCTATATGAGTACGGGCGTGGCCTGTTTTCCCCCACTATCAAATGAGCATTCAGCAACATACCCCGTAGGTCATGTTTTCTTTGCACCAGCTTGCCAGTGCAATGGTTCGATGGAATGCCAGGTGTGGGGCTTTTACTACAAGCTGCTATCCTCATTGCCAGGCAAAACACGACCCATATGCACAATCGGGAAGTGAGGGCGCCACAGTGGGATCCTCATCAGATAGCAAATGTGGTCAATGTATCTATCATTTAAGGCACCCTGCTTCTTTTGCCGGACCCCCATAGCTCCATCATGGCAACCAAGCCGGATGGGAATGTTGAGCTTCCTGCAGTCAAAACAACCACAAGCTGTTGCCGTGCAACAGGCAGCTTTTGAAGACCGTCCGTTTCAAAATGCCACGGAACCAACATCGACAATCCCAAAAAAGAGAAGAACTGGACACACCATAGAGCAAACGATCGATCATCATGGCCCGCTTTTCGCAAACGGTGTGACCAAAAAACAAGACTGCAGGAAACTGGCAGATCTGCTTCGATCGCTTCGAAGCTTGGTTGCCGGGAAATGCTTGCAGTCATCCAGCCTCGTGTTTGCCTTTGGAAAGATGGCTTCCAGGATGAGCCAAACACATGTGGAGCTTGTGTAACTACTATATATGGCCATGGCCCACGTCTGGGGTACTTCAAAATAACAGATTTGGTCTTTTGACTGTTTTGCCACTCAAATGGTTCTTCCCAAAAAAGCTCAAAGTCCAGGACGTCAGGTGAGGGTTAATGTGCAAGGGAGTAAGGAGGCCAGAGAAACCCGCACCCGAGCCTTGCTTGGACCGTCTGCTGCAAGCACCTCAATTTGGCGAGGCTTGGACCCCTTATGCAAGGTCCAAATCATTGGAATAGGCCGACCCCCCTCCCCACGACATTGTTGTTTTCTTTAAGAAACCACCCAACATGGGGGACCAACTCTAAAAACAGACGAGCCATGCATGTTGACATGCGTGTAATTCTTTGGAGCCTAATTCAACTTGCCCGGTCGCTGTGGAACAAGGACGCCCGGAAATGGTCATGGGTCCCGCACATAGAAAGGAAAAACATATCAGACCTACCCAACAAGAAATGAGAGAGAAAGAACAACGAAAGAAATAAGAACTTAAATAAGGAAGAAACAAAATGAAAGAAATACAGAAGGAAAGAAATAAAGAAAGAAAGAAAGAACAACAAAAGAACAAAAACAAGAAAACAAGAAAAGAAGGTATGAAAGAAAGACAGAAATTTTGAAATAAGGAATTAGATAAACAACAAATACAGAGCAAAAAGGCTGGCACTGCACGCCTGAGGCATCTGATTAATTAACAGCACATCATGCCAGATTCATCCTGACGATGGACGAGCAGCTCTAAACCCAGCAAATGATGTCAGTCCACACTTGAGATTCACTCTTAAATTACCCTCCCAGCAATCAACATGCAACCCGACGTTCGGGGTCCTGGTTTGGACTGTTTTCCTTTTAAAGGGACCCTCTGTCAGATTCCATGCTAATTGGTGAGAAGGCAATTCATTTTACAAGCTGAAACTGGCACCCTCCCCCTCACCCCCCCCCCAAAAAAAATAGCCACTAGTGTTCTGGTTTGAACTCATTGGGCAATTGTTTCTCTTTGACCCGCTCGGCGAATTCCAGCTGACACCTTGGGGGCTGCTTGGGTGGCCTCAAACTGGCCAAGTGGTGAGTAACCTGGATTTGGAGTTGTTCCATAGACATGCGGGTCAGGGAAAAGCGCTGACGGACACGTTAGCACAATCCGCTTAAATGCACCAGGCAGTGAAATGCCCGATGGAGGCGCGGCATCTGGTTGGCCCGTTGAAGCCTGGTGGGGAAGCTGGGGTTCAATACCAAAATGTGTGGAAGCGCGCTCTACGCGCAGTTTTCTTGGGCCGGTTGGCGTTTGGAACGCAAAATCGCACAAGCGCCAGCCGCGGACCATGCGTAAACGAGGGGGTTAAAAGGTTCTCAGCATGCCTGCCATTTGGAGTGCCAGGTTTGTTGTCTCTCATTGTCGTCGCTGGACTTTGAAGGCGGGGAGGGTCAGAAGGAAGTTTGGTGGGGTCCGTTTTGAGGGGTCCATGCGAGGGTCCTGGGAGTGGATAAGCCCTTGAGGCCTCCCGGGGGTCAAGGCCACCCGATTTCCAATCACCTGCAGCCAGGGCACTGGTCGATCCACATGGCGTCATGCCACTGGGTGTCGCCCCAAACTCAGCGCGACTGGAAACAGGCAGCCACCGATTAGTTTCTCATCGACAGGTTGGCGTGGAACCCAGAAGCCGACATGTTCAAAGGAACGTCCTTTGGCAGCACCCTCTGTTTGGGTTCCATGTTCATTGGCAGGAGAAGACGCCCTTGGCAACCAAACAGAAGCTGAAAACATGTGCGGATGAAGTTACGAAACTAATAGCGGGCTGCTAGATTCACTGGCCACCTGCAGAATCAAGATTAAGCAAGCAGAAGCAGTTCAACCTCTACATTCAACCTCTACATTGGATGGATCTCATAGGGGCGGCACAAATTTGGGGTAACCTGAAATAGACGCCTACCCTGCCTCCCTTCACAAGGCACCGGACCACAGACCTGTCAGGTGCCTTTTGCAACAAACCAACCAACCAACCAATCAACCAACTGCTCAACCACCATCTAAACAACCAACCATCCAAACACCCACCCAACCATGCAACCAGCCAGCGAGCCAGCCAGCCAGCTAGGCAGCCAGCCAGCCAGCCAGCCAGGCAGCCACCCAGCAACTCATCAACGTCCCCCGTTTTGACTCTTGAAGGACCGTGTCTAAGACCTGAGCAGCGCATCTGCCAGAAACACTCCCGGCTCTTCTCCGCCAAGCTCTTCAGGGCGCCCTGCGACATCACCTACCGGGACAACGTACCTAAAAGCGCGTCCGCGTAGGCATACAAGTATACGTGTATACATAGTTTTAAAGATTATATGTATATACTGTCAGGGCTATATACACATTCGGGTATGTACAGGTATGTGTACCATAATTGTGTGTAGTGGCCAATCGATGTATCCTGTTGCATGTGTATATATATTATATATATATATGTATATATGTTCGCACTGCTTTAGTGACTTGTCGATTCATCTGGTCAACCGATTGGTTTCAGAATTGATATGCGCATATCATGTTGATCAATATGTTTTCTAACTGGTTCATGGACCCCATCTGTATAAATGAATGCAGGCAAGTTGACATGTTGATGTATGTACAATATCCTCCAAATCCCTGGGATATACGTCCCCGGTTCAAATGTTGAAACCTTGCTCCGAATAGTTTGGGCTCCCAAACAAATGCTTGGACGTGAAGACGTGAGCATACATACATCCTGTAGGCTTGTATACTACGTTACTAGAGGTGTGTCGCACACGGACATATCTCTTTGCATGTGTTTATGCATATCTAACAGAATTCACGTTTGGGCAGAAACTCGTTTCCATTCCTATTCGTGAAAGTCCCAAATTATCCCCTTCCATTGCCCGTAAATGGCTTTGCCTCCAAATCGAGCAACCCAAACAAATCATCACAGCCCAAGACACGGATACAATCTGGGCTGTTCAAAATGGAGGGTTGGCCAATCCTGGTCCTAATCCACAATCCTAATCCATCGGCGGCGGGCTCTCTCCGAAGTTTTGATATGGTAAGTCTCTGAAATCAGACTTACAGGGAAGACTTCCCCTGAAGGTTGGGTGAACATAGTTGGCACCTTCCAGCACCCCCCAACCACCGCTGTTTCCCATGTCCAAATTCCCGAGCACTGTCCAAAAAGCAGTGGATAGGGAGCGCTGCCAACATGCGACTGGAATTTTAGAGACCCAAAAGATGCAACTGGAATTGGAGACCGCAAGATACAGCCACTTTAGTGGGTCGAAGCCTTTCCCAGACGAACCAACGAAGGATTCCGGTTTCGCCACCTGCAGGAAGCTGGGAAACCCAGAGTTCCCCGTGGACGCCAGGTACGTTGGCTGCTGGTTCACGTTGCCATAGCTCTCCTGACAAATGGATTGGCCGAGCGCCCGAACCCGGACCCGCGCGAAAGCCGGGCTTGGCTTCAAGGGATTGGTCACTGGCCCGAAAGGATCGGCTTAAAGTGTCTAACTGTCAGTGGGTTAAACGGAAACCCCCACCAAACCCTAAAAACCTGAAAACCCAAAACACCCAAGCGGATGGCTGCGAGCCATCAAGCCTGCTGGTGGTTTCCACGGCAACTGCCACTTTTGGAACTCTTTTGGAGGTTCCAAAAAGGCAACTGGAGGAAACCCTGGGCAACCATACCCTTGTGAGGTCATTCCCCTCCTCTTGGTGAAGCAGTTTCCGGAGGTTGCTCAGCATGAAGACGCAGTCAGGGTAGGCACGAACGGTCCACTTCACCTGCGCTCAGCTAGAGCTTGAGCAAAGCGCTTTTTGTTTAAGCAAAACCATATACGCAACCCTACTGTGGATGAACGAAATCCATTTCGCACCACTTTGAACCCATGCTTGAAACTGTTGTTTGTTGGTATTTGCAGGGGAATCATCAAGCCTGGATTTCTTAGGTGGTGTTTGTCCATAGTTCGACAAGTTGATCAGGGGCATCGCAACTGTGAAGGCCTAACCCGCCAGTTTGAGGCTAGACTGATCAAGCCACCTTTCGTGGCGATTAGCAGGAAGCAGGGTTAGCCCAATGGTGGGGTGCATTGCCGGTCTGAAGTCCTGGGAAACTGCGTCTTTCGGCGGAAATGGGGTATAAAGCTGCGCCTTGTGTTTACTCAGGCTTCCCTCACACCGGATCAATGGCTGTAGGGCTTCCTCCAAACTGGCCTTGAACAGGCCCGAAAATGGTCATGGGCGCCTCCCGTCCCTTTATTTGGGAGGCCACTTTTTCACAAATCGAATTTAGAATGGGCCCGGCAGTTCTGTTTTTTCGTGCTTGTCTGAACGAACTGCGCCTGCGTCTGCGCGATTGAGCAAGCTGCAGCAGTTCCACTCCAAACAATGCCCCTTAGATGAGGTGAGATTTGGTGGTTGAAATGTGCCCGGATTACTAGTGGAATTTGGCGTCTGCGTGCCGCGTGTCCATAGTTTTGCAGGAGAGCCGAGCAGTCATACGGGAATGTCTTTTGTTGAGGGTACCCTTTCTGGAGCTGGTTTTCAGGGGAAACCAAAGGGCAACCGCCTTATTCGGTTTTGGGGTCCTATTTGGAGACTAACCATGGACCGCGGGACAAATGAGCACAGCTGAGTATCTGCAGTACTTGGAACCAGTGGGAAAACCTGATGCGAAACCAGGACAACCTGTCTTTGTTTGGGTTCAAAGGGAACTCGAACATGAAAAGAAACAGGCTGGGCACCTTTGTTTTGCAATGCTTACAATACTGAAGTAGGAATTGGATCCCAGGTAAGGACATCATGGCTTTCTCCTTTGAAGCCCCGAATCGGTGGAATCACTCGCCACAAAATATGCAGATCATGTTCCAGGGACCCAGTCGAATGAATCCGTCCAAGATACATGGAACTACCCAGCTGCTTTTAAAGGAAGATCATCTTCCAAAATAGGTTTGAGTCAGGGTTGGGTCAACTTTTGTGAAACGCCTAATAGTCAAAAGGGCTCTGTGTCAGTTGGCCCAACCTTATTGTTTCGGCATGTTCAAACACCACTGTTCATACAAACCGGGGTCGCTCGATTTCGCCTTCAAAGGAAGACCTTTTACCGGTGTCCATTGAAACGATCGCCACTTTAGGTTCCAAAGAGGGAAATGGAGGACATGCCCTGCCAACACATACCCGGATCGATTCGAGTCCGGTCTCCGGACCTCCCGCCACTCGGGGTCTTTGAGCACCTCCCGCCACAGCGCCATGGACACGTCAGTGGTGAGGTCCTGAAATATCAGGCGCCACATCGAGGAAGGTGTGGTACAGTTGGGCGAGTTGGATGGACGTTCAACTCAGCTTGGTGAGAAGGTCATCAACCTCCTTTTTGGGTCTCCCAAAACATCTTAAGGTGGGCCTTGGAGAGCAACCAAACGGCAAAGAAAGGACAACCTCTTTTTTGGGGTGGCTTCAAAAAGCAAATCCACCGGTTTTGGTGTGGTGTGCAGGGAAACCAAGGGGATCCACCCCGTTTTATATGGCCACGTGTCAAGAGGTCCCCTACAAATGTGGACTTGCTGTCATTTTGTGCCTTTCAGATCGTACCAAAAAGGGTCCACTTGTTTTGACACATAATGATGCCGAACCCGCAAAAGGCGGGGTGTCGCCCACAAGGCAATTCCTTTGCACTTGGGTGGTGGTGGTGGTAGGCTTCCTTCTCTTTATTTCCGATGGTGATATTTCCCAGACAGCCGGGGCAACATTTGGGTTGAGTTGCAAAAACCAGCTGCATGGCGCCGAAGCTCTTTGTTCGATGTTGATACAGGAAATAGAAAAACCGGCAAAAGCAACCGAACGAACAAGTGGACTAGGGCGGTGTTCAACCAACGGAGAGGAGAAGGCGGCGGATAAGCAAGCATGTCTTTCAGACAAGCAAACGCACTCCACATATATGTATATATATATAGATTCAACCACTTCTGAATGGCACTACAAAATCCAAGTTCACCTTCAGCATGTCAAACAGTGCTTCCAACAATCGCCAAAGAAGGTATTCAGTAAGCTTTCAGAATATCTAGGTGTATTCTTACAATGACTTTTGGTTGTAGCTCGAACTACGTTTGTCTCCCCCTGCTCTTGCCAAAAAGGCGCCACATTCCATTGACCCCCCTTCTCCACCAGCTGGGACGCGTAGATCTTGCGCCTCAAGTTTTCTGCATGAGGTCTGGGTATAGTCCTATGGTGCGTTAGGAGGTCCTAACTCATGTGTCATGAACATACACGATTTGTATTCCAAAGAGACGAGCCCGTCCTGACATTGAAGTCCCTGGAAATACGTAAACCCTGGTCAATATGTGTTACGTCCACAGCTGACATGGCAGTTTGGTGAGTCCTGTAAGTTGGCGGTGGACATAAATCTGTTTCAAGGATGTGCACCAAAGTCACCAACGGTTCCCTAATCCATATATATATATATATATTGCTATCCCCCCACCAAAAAACAACAACAACTAGGTGCCAGCAGTCGATGGATTGTTCAAAACAGACATCGTGATTGAAATGTGTCATTGTTCAAAAATGCAATGTACTTTATATTTGAATTGTCTTTAAAGTCATCTTTGCAAAGGAGTTCATCTTCATTTTCCTTATACAACTTTATGAAAGTGCATCTTCAAGTTCTAACTGACAATATAGATTCAAATTGAACTTTCCTTGTAAATCCATTAAGGTTCATATTCAAGTTATAATTGGACATCTAAATTGTAATTGAACGGTTTAAAAAAAAGAAAAAAACAATCCATTAAAGTTCATATTCAAGCTCTATCGAACATCTAATTACAAACGAACTGGTTTCCTTGAACAGAAAAACATTGAAGCTTAATCAAGTTTAATTTGACATGGTATTGGGGAATGATGTCCTGTCTAAATGTTCAAACGCCAATTGAGTTGTGTCCGTATTAAACTATATGTAAAACGGAGACATATTTGGGAATGAACTCCTCCTCTTCAAAATATATGTTCAAAGGCCAATTGAAGTCTGTCCAAATCAAATTCTATTTAAACTTTATTTGAGCTTTAATTTCCTATTTGGAGAGGAGTTCCTTTTTAATTCCCAATTGAAGATAGAAATTCTGGCGAACTATGTCCTTACTAAATTCCATTCAAAATGCCCAGTCAATTTGAATTGAAATCCTATCGCCCGGGGAAGGAATTCACATTTTGCCATTTTGGAGAGCTCTGGGCTCCAACTTGTGAGGCTTCGATGGGCTCACAAACGACATTTCAAGGATTCAGATTTCCAGATTTCCAGATCCTAGATGTCAGGTCTTCTAAAACGGAAACTTCAAGGCATCAACGGTCCAAATTCTAGAACCTATATCAAAACAGCAATTCAAGTTAACCTAGTTGTATTTAAAGTCTTCTTTGGACAGGAAACCCATTTCATTCCATGTCAAAAGGCAGAGGTAGTAGATGAAGCGAAACGTCTAACAAACTTGAATGCTTTCCCCTGATCGCCAAAACTTGAAAGTATTCTACCACTGGATTGAAGACTCAAGAATCAATACATCACGGAAACGTGTTCAGAGAATTTGAATCACGGCCACCCCGAAATACTTAAGTAAACCAGTTGTTTTTCACTTTTGGTGGCTTTACTGTATTACTGTTCATGGGTCCAGAATTGTTGCTGGTTTTTTATCATAAATTTACTACTTTATGTCTACTGGGTTATTTTGTGTTACTTCTTATTTGTCGACTTCTACTACCAAAATAGAACAATCAGCACTTGTCCAGTGTCTTTGCCCTAGTGTCGACAAAAACACGCATTTGGTGCAGAAAGGAACAAATGCATTTGTCAGGGTGGTTTTATGCAGAATGTCCCAGTGTGCTGAGTCATCCTGATGAAAAACCTAGGTTTCCTTTTGGGGGGACCACATATATATACATATATATATATAATGTGTATACATATATATATATATGAATATATATATACATGAATGAAGAGCATCAATGCTTTCCAAGCTTACATGGTAGACGGAACACTGAGCCCCGAAAGGCCAAGCGCGACCCGTTTCCTCGTGTTTGGAAAGTTCCACTCATCTGAAATGCTGAAGTACACGCAAGCGTACTGCCGTGTCCTGTTGGGGAGCCAGTGAAGTTCAAGCAAATCAAGAGTCAAGATCAATCCAGACATGTGATCGATGCCTCTTTATCAGGATTATGTAAATTATGTTGCTACACAAGACTCCAACTTGATCGCTTTGTCATACAATGAATCTCTGATACTCCGCAGCTTCATGATATGCACCAGATCAGACCAACTACAGTCCCCATTAGTCGGGCGAGATCAGGCGGAAAGGCATTCCGGGCAGTCCCGTTCTACACTTCTCTCACAGACTCGATGAGCTCCCTTCTCAGAACCGTGCCGTCCTGACAACAACTGGCAGTGGCTGGATTTTCAAGGCAACCAACAGCAAAGTACAATGATGGCAGGCAGTTTAATCTTAGGAACCACCCATTCACTTGGGAGACACATGTTTGGGATAGAGTAGGGCATCTCTTGCAGGCATTGTGTGTCTTTCCCCCCCACCCCCCCCGCAGTGGAAGAAGCTAATTTCACCCTGGCCCATTTGCTGAAACGCTCTGTGGAGGTGGCTTTACGACGCCTCCGCCACGTGCGGGACCCGCCCGCCCTCCCGGGAGGTGCCGCGGGCCATGCTCTTGGGAGCCCGGGCGTCTTGAGACCGCTCGGGAACTCCAGAAGTTGGGCACTGTAGACCGCGTATTTGTCACCTGACTCACCCTCCAAAACATGGCTACCTTTACGGGGAACACAGAGCGCAATTGGCGGGAGCTGATGAGGAATAGGAAAGCCAAACGAGTGGAATCTCAGAACCTATCCGGATATGGAAAGAAAGCACCATTCTGTTTAGTTGCTTGCAACAAATCCATGTTGTCCCGTGAGTACTGGAACAGCCAAGCCCATGTAGGGACGAGTTGCGCACACAACAGGACGTTTTTTGCTGGGGGGCAGTACTGAACTGGCCCCGCTTCTCTTTTGGTTTGCGTCAAAGCCACGTCCGAAACGGTACCCGCGCAAAAATGAACCACAACATCATCTTAGCAGACACAAACCACACTCACTGTTGCCGAAGAAAGGCTGAGGTTCATTCGAGGGTCATTAAAACTGTGACCTCAAAAAGGACGAAGAACTTGATTCAAACAGAGTCCGTCGCGGGGGATTCGAATTCCTGTTGCTCTATGGTACCTTCCGCTTTGGATCGGAGGACCAAATCCAACCAGATTGACATAAATCCAATGCGAGGGGCAACATAAAAGCTGGCACACCTGCATACCTGAGCCGTGTGTGCGACCTCTGACAAATGACGTCTCACCAAAACAAATATAAATCAGGACCTATCATAACTATTTGCAAGCATTAAGTACCGACGATATCCAACGTGGCTATCCTGTTCTGGATCCCGGATTCACAAATTCCTGGTTGATTGACAGGGGGTATCCCACTGTTTGTTGGTATTTACAGGGAAATCATCCCTCAGCCCAATGGTGAAAACTGTACAACACCTCGACCCTAAACCCCCCTGTGGGTGGTCCAATGTCTCTCCCTGATTTTTTCAGGGGTGAACAAAGTACGAACACCCCATGATCATGAGGTATTCTGGTTTGATAGTACCTCACAACCCCGTTCTAACAATTCAGGCGAGTTATGTTCATAGTAAATCTGTTTGACAACGTCTCCTCTCTCCTTGAGCTGCACGAATGTGAAGGCACATATAGAACTTCTTGAACCGGCGGATCCACAAACAATATACGTCAGCCACGATGTGTCTGAAATAGCAAGGGTGAAAGCCCGTTGGCATGGGCATGATTTATCATGGACCCTGGACACATTGTCTCGGAGCTTCATGTCAGCCAACCAAAGGTGGTTTCCGGGAAAAGAAAGACAGAGCTAGACATGTCTGTGTTTTTTCCTTTGCCTTCTGAGAAACACCGGGCAGCCGTTGCACCAGGTGATCAAACACAGGACATGGCCAAACTTCTGCCACGAAAGGTGTGCAAATGGCCTGCGAATTCGACTTCCTGGAAGCTTCGGCCAAACATCAAGCCGCAAGTCAGGCTCTGTAGGCTCGTTGGCAAAGTCACTGCCATAGACTGGTCAAATGCCAGGCCAAAAGTAAGACTCTGCAAGCTGTCTGGCAAAGTCACTCCCTGCAGGCTTTGGTCGAATGAATCTCCGAAGAATAGGCTCTGCAGGCTTGGCAAAGTTACTCCTTGCAAGGGTTGGTCGAAGCATTCTCCGAACGTCAAACTTTGCAAGCTGTCGGGCAAAGTAACTCCCTGCAGGCTTTGGTCGAAATTCCGACCGAAAGTCAGGCTCTGCAGGCTCCCAGGCCAAATCACGCCCTGCAAGTTTTGGTCAAACCTATCACCAAATTCCAGGCATTGCACAGTGCTTGGCAAAGTCACTCCCTGCAAGGGTTGATCGAAGCATTCTCCGAAAGTCAAGCTCTGCAGGCGGCTTGGAAAAGCAACTCCCTGCAAAGGTTGATCAAACTCATGGCCAAAAGTAAGACTCTGCAAGCTGTCTGGAAAAGTCACTCCATGTAAAGGCTGGTCAAAATGGTAGCCGAAAGTGAGGCTTTGCAAGCTGCCAGGAAAAGTGACGTCCTGCAAATTTTGGTTGAACCGGTTCCCAAACGTCAGGGTTTGCAAGTAGCCTGGCAAAGTCACTCCTTGCAAGCTTTGGTCAAACGCACCCAAGGACAGGCTCTGCAGGCTTGCTGGCAAAGTTACTTCCTGCAAGGGTTGATCAAAACAGTCTCCAAAATTTAAACTCTGCAAGCTGACTGGAAAGTCTACTCCCTCCAAACTACAATCATACTTATGGCCAAAAGCCAACCTCTCATAGCCTACATTGAGGCTTTGCAAGCTGCCAGGTAGCGTGACGCCCCGCAAGCTTTGGTTGAACCCAGCGCCAAAAGTCAAACTTTGCAGGCTGGCAGGGAAAGTAACTCCCTGCAGGCTTTGGTCGAAATTCCGTCCGAAAGTCAGGCTCTGCAAGCTCCCAGGCCAAATCACGCCCTGCAAGTCTTGGTCAAACCTATCACCAAATTCCAGGCATTGCACAGTGCTTGGCAAAGTCACTCCCTGCAGGCTTTGGTCGAAATTCCGTCCGAAAGTCAGGCTCTGCAAGCTCCCAGGCCAAATCAAGCCCTGCAAGTTTTGGTCAAACCTATCACCAAATTCCAGGCATTGCACAGTGCTTGGCAAAGTCACTCCCTGCAAGGGTTGATCGAACCATTCTCCGAAAGTCAAGCTCTGCAGGCCCTCGAAACTCTGGAAAGTCAGGCTTAGCAAGCTGCGTGGAAGAATCACTCCCTGTAAAGGCTGACTAAAACCGTCGCCGAGAGCCAGGTCTTGCAAGCAGCCAGGTAAAGGGACGCCCTGCAAGGCTTGGTTGAACCCGTCCCCAAAAGTCAGGCTCTGCAAGCTGTCTGGTAAAATCACTCCCTCCAAGCTTTGGTTAAATGCATCCCCAAAGGAGAGGCTCTGCAGGCCTGATGGCAGAGTCACCAAGCGCTGGTTGAACGCATTGCCAAAAGTCAGGTTCTGTAGGCTGCTGGGCAAAATTACTCCGTGCAAGCTTTGGTTAAATGCATCGCCGATGGGCGGGTGAAAGTGCCAACCTGACGCGGGTTGAGGCACTGGTGGGGCCACCGCCCCTGGATGCGCAGCGGGGGAAAGCCCCGCGCAGTTCATCTCGTGCACCAGCATGACCAGCGCAGCGCCCACGCGGCACACGCACAGGCGCACAGGCTGCTGCCAACAAGGGCCAAAGCCAGGCACACAGAGAGGCTCAATAGTAAGCGACAGTTACCACGGAAAAAGACGAACCCAGAAGGGGCAAAGAGCAAGCCACCCAAATGCATCGCCGAAAGTTAGGCTACGCAACCTGCCTGGAAGAGTTATTCCATGCAAGCTGTGGTCAAATTCCTGGCCGAACGTCAGGCTTTGCAGGGTGCTGGGCAAACGACATGGTGTGTGCTGGTTGCCCAAGCCATCCCAAAGCAGCTGCGTGATGCCTTCCAAAGCCTGGCCTGAACTGTCAGTTTCACACCCATTCAGCACGTTCCAAGCCTTCAGCAGGCAAGTTCGAGTGTACGTAAACATAAGATCCGCGTGTGTCTTCAGGCCCTGCTCCCGAAGAGTTGCGTCTGGGGAAAGCCCCGCGCCGCCCAAGCTCAGGCGCAGCACGCAGCCGGGCTTTGGAGGAAGCTCGAGCTCTACCAAGCGGAGGAGATCGCTGACAAGGGTGCAGTCTGGCACGCTAAGGTGAAGTTCTCGGCCATCCAAGCCAGCGAGTGTCAAATCCAGCAATGATGTTTCCATGTGAGCCACGGTCAAATTCTGTAATTACCTTCAACCAAATGAGGGAAACTAATCAGGCCTCTTGTTCTTCCGGACATGTCCTCCCAAAATCTGCCCCTGCTTTTCACTCGACTTCCAGAGTGCGGCGTATGAAAATTGCACGTCAAATGGTTCGAGGCACGGCAAACAAAAAATAATGTTTTGTTTTGGGTTTTTTTCCCGCTCCATCAACTCAAGGGCGCCCTAAGGAGCAAAAGCCACAACGGCAGCGGAGATTGCACGCAACTCGGCTATACAACTGCTTTACAGACAGACACGTTGCGAAAACCTGCCCGGCTTCACGCCCGTCTTTCTTGCAGCGGTGCGAAAAGCCACGGCCCTACGCAGCTCTCGGTATTTCCTCCAACCTTCACAAATGGCATTTGTGAAGCATTGCGGTCGCATTGCTGTTTCGGCCACGCTTTAGTCCCGTCAGCTCAGTTGATTCCCTATCCTTGGACTCTCTTTTCAAAAGCTCGTCCTTGGATCTTCCGGCGTTCTTTGCCTCTTTGGACGACCACGCTACGAGTTTGAGTCGCGTCAAGAATCCGCTATTTTCGCACCATCAACTCAAGGGACACCTATATCCGAGTCAAAGCCACAGCGGCAGCGGAGACTACGTGGCTGCATGGTGCTAGAGCGCTGGCACTTGGAGGTGTCACCGTGGCTGCGAAGACGGCGATGTAGTGTGCTCGCTTCGGAGAGTTGTGTGATGCGCCTTGGTGATGCTGGCGGCGTTAGGCCTGGGTTTGTCGGAAGGCCTGTATCCTAGAGCTCAGGCGAGCTGGTGACGCTCGGGCCTGGCGCTGGTGATGCCAGTGCTGTCGTCGGGAGGGGGGGGGTGCCGGAAAATTGGGGGGGACGCCTCTTCAAAAGTGTTGGCGCAGCTTGTCCATGAGTAAACCATAGTCATAGATTGAGACTGATATTTTGACCGAGCCTCATGTGGCAACACTGTAACACTGGTGGTCTTTGCACCATTCAGCTCTCGAGCAGGAGCACAAAAGCCCTACGCGCGCTTGAAGCGATCAACTGGGCGTGCTTTCGTCAGGACGCCAAACTTGGAGGGCTCCAATTCCTTGAAACCCGAAGATTGCCGCCCCTTGCAAGCAAGAAGCGTAAATTGGCCTTGCCGACGTCCATTCGGGTTCACCCCATGTCAACTTCAGATTCGCAGAGGGCCAAGCTAAGCCGCGGGTGGTTCCCCTTTGAGCGGGAACAAGTATGATACATTTCTGCATCAACTCCGGATGAATCTGAAACTACGATATAAATAAAGCACAACAGAGTACTAGTTGACTGACAAAGTCCGAGCAACTTGTGAAGGAGAGCAAGTCAAGTCGGTTCCTTCAGTTTAAAAAAATGGATGTTGTTGTTTTGAGGTGTTTCTCAGGTTGGGTTTTGGGGAAATGAACAGGAGCACCACCATTCTTGTTTTTGTTTCTTTGCTTTTGCTTTTAATTGGGGGGGGTCCATGTCACCCCCTTTGGTTGGTTCTTACAGAGAGACCAAGGAAACCAACCATTCTTGACCCCGAAGGATGATTTGCGCATTCCCAAGCTTCCCTGAAAGGGTAAGACATCCTCAAACCTGTCGCTAGGGCGCAGGAACAATCAACTGAGAACAAATCCCTCAACATGCAACCACTTTAATGGGCCCAGCATCATGGGTGCAAGTGTGGCCACACTTCAAGGGCTATTCAGGGCTCCTTGGCGTGGTGCATAAATTGGCCCAAGAGACCAGGTTCTTTATATGTCCCCTTTGCTCTTCTCACCACCAACGAGTACATCCCACATCCAAACAAACAAAAAGGGGGATTCCTCTAAGGTGGTTTTGGGGTTCAAAATGGATGTGTCTTTTTTCCGGGGCCCCCAAAATGGGTGGTCACGTAAACTTCGCTTCAAAGGGCGGTTTTGGGCAACTCCCAAAAAGACGCATGAGCAAGACATGGGTCTGTCTGTTTTTGGAGCTGGTACCCCTGCTTTGCTGGTGTTAAAGGAAAACTAAAAGAATAAGCTCAGGGGATATCCCCAACAGCATGCCGTGCTCTTTTTAGTGCTCGCAGCACCCCGAAGAACCTGGTGGAACCCCGGTGGAACCCTGGTGGAACCTTGGTGGAACCCGCCCCGGACCACCCCGGAGCCGGCTGAGACCCCAAAGCTTTCAGCTGTTGGGGAAAAAATACCATTTGTTTGGGGTCCCAAAAAAAAAGAGAAACACACCCACATAGGTCACATAAAGTGGGAGCTTGCAAGCCAAGCCACATGCGAAGATGCCGGCTCGGGCTTCATGCTGTTTGTCCACCTGAGACACGTGGCTGTGTCTTTCGGGGTACTATTTCCTGATGAATATAATTCTATTCTTATACGGAGTGATATTAATGTACCGGAGATTCCAAAGATGAATCCAGATAATAGATAATTGATTCCTAAGCCTTTATGATTACACGTTTTAACTAGTGAATGAAATAATGTAGTAAAATAATAACATATGAAAAATATAAGTCTAGATTTTCAATGATTGTTTATTCCTCTTTCCAGTTCTAATCCCCGCGGTGCTTGTCTTGCCGGTGCTCAGGGAATCAGAAATGGAACCCCGAGCAAAACCATCCAACTCGTGGCTTCCTTTGAGGGATTCCCCAGCTTCATTCCCCCGTTCCCTACTGAGCACCAGCAAGTTGTTAGTAAAATGAAAAACCACCATGTTGGGGGTTAAGACAAGGACACCCCTTTTTGCGGGATGGATGATAATGATGAAACCCTATGAGCACTGGCATACGCAACGTCCCAACTGATGCGGGATTTGGGTTTATCCACAGTGCCACTGTCACCTGCTTATCTGAGACACAGTGTTGAGCCAAATATCTGAGTAGCAGCCCCTCTCGGCGCGTCAAGGGGGCTTACATGAAGTTCACTGGGCCAAATATGGGATTCAAGGAAAGCTGCTTGCAGTGGACATTGGCTCTTGTCTCCATCGCTCCATGACCGCTCGCAAAAACTTAACCCCCCGGGTCGTGTGACGATGGTAGAATGTGAATATGTGTCAAAATATCCGAACAGACGGGTGGTGTTCTTTGAAGGTTTCCCTTTAGTCCTTCCCGCCACAAACACTACAATAGCTAGGTAGAACCAACATGTCAAAAACAAACCGATAATAGAGGTTTGGGTGCCAGGCAGAAAGTGATATTGCTTGGGCGGTATATTTAAGCCTTACCCACGGGCAAAACTGAGGCACAAGGAATCATAGATCGAACATTACGCTGCGCAAACCTCTAGTCCAAACCAAACCGGAGAAAACATATGACACTTGGGACTTACTTGGCTCACCCCTCTACACAGACCTCTTTTGGCGGTCGTTGGGTATCGTCCAGGGGTCTGGTGGTCAGCCATACTGTCGGTCGGCTATTGGCTCCTTCGATTTCCCTTACAGGCAAACTCACTTTGACAAAGCAAAAGGTGATCTTCAAACTCACCTAAATGTCCAAAGCCCTAAATCTGAAGGCCTTGAAACGCAGGGCGATCTTTGAATTCCAGTTGAGGTCAATTCACACCCAAACCCATGCCTCGGAAATTATCAAGCAAAAAAAAGGCATGGTATCCTCCCTCCCACTAACATGGAACCTGACTAGACTAGAGGTTCCTGGTGTTTTGGTTGAAACACGCATTCATGACGGTGAACCACCTGCAGGAAAAAGGTATGCAAGGTGTGCCAGGGTGAGGCCAAAGCTTCCACTGTACGAAAAACTCGCAACGGCTCTCCGGGGAAAGAAGCACGCGACGCTACCAGCGTGGAGCTTGGGCACCGCTTGGAGGCGGGTTATCGCGAGCGGCTGAGTGGTGAGAGATCAATGGAGGATGTTCCGGGGACCATCCTCCATTGGTCCGGTCTGAAAAGGAAGACCGGTCTATTCCAATGCTCCAGCCTGGACCATCGGTTTGGGCCCTGAGGCCGCTGCCAGATCCAAATCTGTGGAGTAAGGGTCGATCAGCCTGAGCCCAGAGGCATACTTTGGCAAGGACCCAGGATAATAATCCCCTGATGAGTAGGGGCAGAGCTAGATGAGTAGGGGCAGAGCTAGCTGAGTGGTACCTCCTACAATCTGCTTCAGTAAGCAAACTGAGGCACCAAGAATCCCCTCTTGCAATCCAACTATGTCCAACTGGGACAGTCGAACAGTTCTCCATAGATTTGAGTATTTGGCTACCTGGCCGGCCAATTCAAATGCATGTTCAAGGTATAGGCTCTGAGATATGGAGGCTCTATGCCAGCAAAGGGTTCTTGCTGGTGCCCTTGTGTCTGGGGCGGGGCTTGCCCAGTAATTATCTTCTACTACGCTCTGAATTCTTCCCCCTCCAAAAGTCGGCTTTGGCCCAGAAACTATACCCGACCTACCCCTTGCTCCCCCCTTAAAAAAGAATTGGGGCAATTAACAGGAACAGCGGGTTCCCCCCTGCAAAATTTAGAGACACCCGCCTATGCCATGGTCACACAAACCAATTTGGGGGCAAAATGGCCACACCTCCACGAGGAAACACAAACTTTTGGGCCATGCGGTTTTCCAAGTCTAAAACGGACCTTGCCCCGGATTTTTGTGGTCCATAAACCTGGCCAGGATCCCCCAACTTCCCTCACGATGTGGGTCCCTTGGAGGCCAAACTTCTACAAAGGGAGACATCCAACACCTCAAGGATTGAGATCTGCCGGAATTTGGGTGATTTGACCCAGGTGTAAGGTGTTCCTGTTGTGTCCTAATGTTGACCCCGGATGAACAAACCCGTGCAACTGATGGCCCCAAAAGCCCCACAAGGGGACAGCCGCTGATCCGCTTCATCCGGGGGTCCCATTCCTCCACAACGCCAGATGGGTGCCACTCCTTTTTTTTCAGGGAACCGGGACCCACAGAAACCCCGAAACAAAGCGGAGGAGGGCGCTTGTTTCTGGGTTTCCCTTGAAATCCGCGCAAAAAGACGAGGGTGACTCCCAAAACGCGCCGCGACTTGCGACTCCACGCCGGGCCCCCGGGCATCACGCAGAGCACCGAGGCATCGAAGCCGGCGTAGGGCGCCGGGGTGGGAGTCATCTGGTCGTAGAGCGTGTGCCTCTGCGCCTGAATTCCCCAGAGCTTCGGTCCGCGTCTCTTGCTGGGGAATCTTAAATGTATACATGCATCTAAATGTATCTATGTATGTGTGCGTGAATGTGCGTGTGTACGTATGTACGTATGTAATGTAATGTAATGTAATGTAATGTAATGTAATGTGATGTACTGTAATGTAATGTACTGTAATGCAATGTACTGTACTGTAATGTGATGTGATGTGATGTACTGTATGCAATGTATATATGCATATATATATATATATATGTATGCAAAGGGGATAGTCACCAAAACAAGTTTATTTCAATAAAACAAAACTGGGAACGTGAACCATAATTTTGCCCTGTCCTTCTGGGGAACAATGCTTTGACCATGGCTCGGATGAAGCCATGTGCTGGAATTGCGCCATCTACCTTCGCCCAACTGTAAGCGAACCAGAAAGAGTTCCTTTTATGACAACCTAGTCCTTCTCAAAAGTGGAGACACATTTCCTCCAGGTGGCTGGCTTGCTTTTGGTTGCCCTCCAACACCGCAATAGGTTGCCCTTCTTTTGAGACCGCATACTTCGGTGTGTTTTGTGGCTCGGTGCCCTTTTCAGGTTTAAAGGGAAGCCGCACGGAAGGCCACATGGGTTGGTCCAAATCCCGAGACCGGCACCGTCTGTACGTCGGGAGGGGATGCGGATCACTGGCAACATCCTTGTGATGGCCGCCGAATGATTTGGTTATGCTTGGGGCTACAAACCTAGCAACCCTACTGAAGAGGGTTGCAATTAGCACCTGCTCGCCCCCAGTGTTCGGGTTTATGCCCCGTTGTCCAAATCATTCAGCCACAGAAGCTGAAAAAACGAGACTCCATTTCGGTTTCAACACGTCTTCACGGTCTCTCTCCCTCTCTCAACCAACGCCTGGCCTAATATGGTGCCATGTAAAACAAGGATATGTGCACACACAACAAACAAACAAAAAACAAAAACAAAAACCTGCAGACATACGTATGTATATATATATATCTATATATATATATATGCATAATGCTGCATATATATATGTATACGTATTTATACGCTAGTCGTAGTTTGAGCCAACAAAAACAAAAGGAGTCCAGAGGGTTGGGCGAGCACTTTAGTTGAAACCATGTTTCAAGGATCCTCCTTTGGTGCCAATTTCATTCGGGGGCACTGGGCCGGGGTCTGGTTGTTCAAACACCAACCTGCTGCAGCTCCCCCCCGATCCACCCCACATCCCGCATGGTTGTGGGAAGTACTCATTCAGTGATTCCAAACTAGGATTCCCATCCCGCAGGAACTACTTCATCAATTCAAAGGGATTCAATCGATCAACAGAAAGTGGCACCCTAAAACCAGGTATTTCTTCCACATCCATGCCCTTGCTCTCAGGGGCCAAAGTGGGTCTGGCTGCCCACCTCATCTGAGATCCAGGGCAAGTAGGTGGTACTCTGCAAGCAGCTCTTTCCGGACAACACGCCCGGGGATCTCTTCTGGCGCGCGGAGGTGTGTCAACGGTCGAGCTGAAACCGCCGAAACATATGCCTCGTGGAACAATGCCCCCTTTTTGGACATGACATATAATTTGCTTTTTGGGAAGATGTACCTTGTTGGAACCTTTGCCATATGTATTGCCCAATTGGACTTTTTGGTGCGTAAACCCCACTTCCTGGCAATTTGGTGACCCATATCATTTTCTCGGAACAGGATGGCAACTATTGACCCGTGCTCATATGATGGGTCTTCCTTTATTTGAGGAGACCTTTGTTTTTGTTCTTGGGTCTCCCGAAACCAAGATACACACAGATGCCTTCTGGGCGAGTTCTACCGATAGACATGGACACCCAAGAAAGGAGCTCATCGAGTCAGCCTCGTGGAACACCCAGCGTGGGTTCTTTGATAGGTTTTGTGATGGGAAAGGTACTATGGGTTTCACCACTCTCGGACCTGGCAAGGTCCGGTATGAAAAAAGAACTCGCATGAGGCTTGGTCAAAAGTTGCAGTCTATGGTCCATTTGGGACAAGGACGAGCTCCAAACTTCCCACACCCGGTGTAGCCCCAGTTTCACGTGTCTGTTCGGCGAAACCTGCGTAAGTTGGAGTAGACCATGGCTCACATAGCTTCCACTTTGGTGGCAGGAGTTTGCAGAGGGTTTCCAGTGGTTTGCCTGTTGGGGCACCAACTTCTCCATGCTTCATGGCTCTGCGTTGGAGAAATATTGATGTCAGAAAGACTTTGTTGTCTCAAATCAAACTGATGTATTGTCCAATTGGGATCCAATAATTTAAATGTACAAGCTGCTTAAGTATGTTATAACCACACGTACATGTCAGACAACACGGGTTGGTTGACATGAAACCAACTGTATGACCTACTTTTTGCGGATTTCCCGAGATTTGATACATACCAATCAGTCTTCAAGCCGCAATCATGCGCAACCCTTGCGGCCGCCCACCTCAGGACCAGCGCCTGCGAACCGGCGCTTACACATGTTGAGGGGGTTCCCCTTTTGGGCAATCCGCTGACCATGTGCCTCGCGGTGGTTGAACCACCAATCCCAGGTACGCCTCCATTGAAAATCCAGTTTCCTCAAACGCCACACCACCAAGAACTTAAACAAACACAACTCAAACAGCTTGCCTGCTCCAAGGGCAGAGAGGTTGACCCAAGTTTTGAACACATTTGCAACCGTGAAGTTAGCCTGGCTGGGGAAGAATCTGCGCTCAAGATGGCTACTTTGGCCCCACCCCACAACTCCTAGGCTAATTTGCCGCTGCAAAGTGAGGGCAGGCGTCAAAGTAGAGATTGGACCCCGAAAACGGCTGCGGTTTCCTTTTGTCAATTTAAAAGATCCAGACTCCATTAGGCTATACTGGACTCCTCAAAAAAAATACGCATGCCCTGCCGCTTTTCCACGGAGTCGCTTTGGGTTTGGAATCCATGGCGGAAGAGCCTGGCTTCAATCCAAACCCGTACGTTCTGAAACGTTTGCAACAGAGCATGGGGTTTGCAGGCACCGCTGAAATCCTTCACACAACCTGAAAGGCACACACCTTCGCGACTAAGCCGCCTTTGCCCAACAAACAACACGAAACCATCCCAGCGCCCCCCAAAAAACCTGTCTTGCCCATATCCCAAATCCCAAGTACTGTCTAAAAAGCAGAGGCTGGGGGGGTGGTCGCCAAACAACACCCACACGAATTCCAAGAGCGGAGGGGAAGAGCGCCTGTCTGCAGAAAGCAGCCCTTGTCCACGCTCCAGGTAAAGCCATCCTGCGAGATCTCTTAGGTACTCGGCTCCTATCGTTCCCTGAATAAACTCCCAGTTAGCAACCAGGAAGAAAGAGCACCCACTAAAAAGGGACCCCCTGATTCAGGACTGGCGGTGTATCAACCAGGGGGGTCGACATGTCGTATCTGTTGTTTGGGGGGCACAACTTTTTGGCGGGGAAAAAAGCCAAGCCAAAGGAACACCACCATTCTGGGCGTCTAGACCAAGACACGCCCAAATAAAGCAGCACTCTTGAAATGGAAAGCTGGCTGTAGCCAGCCATAGTCAGTGGGTTGACTTGTAACCATGGTCATAACCTACCACGTAGGCGGAGCATCATGTAGAAACATATCTCTCGGTATCTGGGGTTTTGGGCCTTTCGAGTCGATCAAACAAGAGATCTGGGGCCTTTGGGGCAGGAGCGTGCCGCATGAGTGGACAGGAGTCCTTTTCGGGATCCGTCTGTGATCTCTTCCATGGTGGGAAAGAGCTAGGGTAAGGGAAACTTTCAGGTGCTAAGATCCCTTGGTCCGTACTTAAACGCTCTTGACACCGAAGGCCAGTGCATCCGGAGACAAAGAGACCCTCTGGAACTTTGAACCCCTTTCGCGATGCCAGTGCGCCACGAAACCCTCGGGCGGCCACAGGCGAGGTTTGAGCGTGGAAGAGAAAGACATGGGTGTGGGTCAAAAAATAGGCACCCAAAATAGGGCCCTGGGGAATGGAAATATGGACTAGAACCTGCGGTCCGATTCCTGGTGGTGTACCCAAATCATGACATGCGCAAGGCTCAAAGGGGATCTGGACTGCAAGTCCCTCTTCCCCAGGCTGATGCAGGGAACCCTGGTTCTGGAGAGCGGGACATCCGGATTCTTTCCCCAAACTCTGGGGTGCAAAAACATAGTTGTTCAAATCCCATGTTTATCGCCTTACGCCGGGGTGGTTTCCCCTTTACTCTCAACATCCAGGGGTTCAAATTCAAATCCAAACCACCCATTCAAACCAATTGTTGCTATACGTGATCTTTTAAAAATCCTAATGTTGCCATCCTATTTTGCTATCTCTACCAATTGTTGCTAACCAATTGTTGCTATACCTTCTGTTCAATCTCGAAACAGAACAGCTCTGCGGACTCCAACACGGCGCCCAGGCGCGCCCCACACCCCACGCTTCGAGCGGTAACGCTTCCGAGGCGCGTAGCCCTGCTGCGTGGCCAGCACCTGGCACAGCGCACCTCGGTCGCGAGCGGCGGATGCAGATGTTCCAGGTGGGGAACGAGGAAATCCGTGGCATGCATGGAGTGGCTGAATCAGAAGGAAATCCATGTGTTGTTGTTGCAATTTTTGTTTTTTGCCGTGGTTTTGTGGTTGAGTGATGGTTCGCTTACTTGCATTGTGTGGGGGGGGGGGGGGCTTAATCGTATCCAAGGGTGTTCTCACTGAAACAGCAGCGTTCCTCGTACTGTAGAGTGGTCTCCTTCATTGACATGGGGTGTTCTCTTTTTTCAGGCGGGATTGCGGAGAAATCACAAAACAAACCCATTTTGGGCCCCGAGTTTGACACATGCCCAAGTAAAAAGCGAGCAAACCAACCCAGATCGGCCACGAGAAGTCTGAAGTTTCCGCTTACCACTTATCTACAGTTTAAGAGTACACTATGTGGGGAAGTGAGCAAAACTCCGAAGCAAGCATGATTGCTTCAATGGTGATTGACGCTCTTTCCAGGTGTTGTTGTGTTTTGTTTTTTTCTTTCGGAGGGCGCTCGCTGGCAAGGGTGGGCATCCTTGTCAAAACGCGCTCAGGCCTCACGGGTCCGGAAATCCGGCAGCCAGAACTATAAAGCGAGTCAAAGAGCACGGTGGATTCGCTAAGTAGAAAGTAAGTACTGGGAACCCAGTTGATTGATAAAGTGGGGGTTTTACGCGGCCGTTTCCCAAATTGGAGGGACTTCTGCGCTTCTTTGTTTTGGGCGGGGGCAGGGACACCCTCTAAAGCTGCTTCCACCAAGTTGAGTCATTTCGGGTCAAGCCAATAGCAAACCTGGATCCAAAACATCCTAAATTATCCACAAATCTCATTTGCCGGGCGTATTGTGTTCCCTACTTGCAATCAGGGGGTATCAGTTGCTGGGTTCGATTGTTGGGATGGTCAGTAAGGTGCGGGAAACGAGGTGCTGGCTAGTGCTGACCTCGGATCAATAAGCTTTAAGCCCCCGGTGTTAGTATTAAGGTGGTCCTTTTTCGTGGGGTTCCTGTCTGCTCATGGGATCACAGCTCCTCTTTCCTTAACGTCAACAGGTTGCCGGTCAAGGTAGAACGATCTGGCTTTGGGAAAACGACTGGATGGACTCTTGTGCAGAGCTTCTGTACCCTGAGCCTTGCATGGTAGTGTATAGCTTCCATTTTGGTGTTGACATTGCGTGTTTGTGTGGCAATTGTTCCTTCCAATACACCAACCAAGCATCCCTCGAATACTGAACCCGGGGACGTGTCAAACAAGTTGGACCAGTTGCGGTTGATGTTTTAAGGGAATCAAAAGAAACCTGTTGCTGTTAAGAGGGTAGACTCAATTCCTTGGGAATGCTCTCGTGGAGCCTTCCATGTTCGGTTGTCACACATCTCTCGGCTTCCCGCTAATTGGTGGTTGCTCACCAATCCAAACCACCAATCAAGGGATAGCTGAATCTCTCTACTTGGTTTTGATCTGGGAATCCCAGCTTGAGTGAATCCTTCAGTTGTGTCTGCAAAGTTCTACATCCGGGGTTGACACGTGAAACATAACGGACCCAAAACAGGTCCAGTTCAATTCTGGGGTACACCAAAAGCATGTATGTTCAAATTGTCTTCATTATTCATTTATGTCGTCTACCCTGAAACATGACATATCATGTTGGAGACCTGAGCAACCAGGGTGGGTCCCAACAAGTTTATTTTAACAGGGCTCGTTGCTCCGTTGACCGCACGGCAGATTCGGTCCATCGAGTGGAGAAACACAAGCCGTCGGTGAGGATTTGAATTCGCCTGAAGGACTTCTCCTTTCTTCCCCTGCTTTGGTACTCTGCAAGGAGGTTCGACCGGAAACGGCGCCTTTGAAGAAACCATCGGAACAATCCCAATTTAACATAATACTGCCTTTGAGGGGGGTCGAAACCAAGAAAAACATCAAGCCCAAGCAAGCAAGCAACCCGTTTGGTTCAAGAGGCTAGTTCGAGCAAAAAACCACCCTGTGCCAAATGTTAGAACGACTTTCCTTCTGCACTTCCGTGCTCGGTCAGGGCTCCCTAGGTTTCCCCTTAGAACATCCCCCCTACCAAGGGATACTCACCTTTCATGGGCCAAGAAGGTGATGTTTAAAACCAAGCCCTGCCGGTGGGCATTTCTTCCATGGCGCTGGAGCTCTTCCCCTTGTCCTCCTTCTTGCCCTCTCCCGAGAGTTCCACCCCCACCTTCTGCCTGCGAGAGTCTCGAGTAGGGCGTGACTCTCAAGTTTCGGGACCCCGAAAACTTGTCCCAGGGCCAGATCGATACACCAGGTGCCCTGCCATCTGCCACGGGAGCAAAAGGGTCAACCTTTGAATCGCTGGTCTCTTTTCGAGGGAACCAACACCCAAAACGTAAGCCTGGCAGCCGGCCGGAACCCAGGCAATGGATAGTTTGCTTTGTCTGCCTCGGCTTTTGTCCAACCAAAAAACATATCTAGGATTATCACCCTTCAAAACAAAATTGCAAAAGCGATGCAATTTGTTTGTTTCATGAGGGTACGCTTTGACCTGCAAGTGGAATTGCTTCATAGTGGCTCCCCTTTTGCAAGTCTTCCCTTCTAGGATCCAACGCGGTTCGCACAGTGTCGGTATTCGGCGCCGTCCTAGGGTATCTGATCTGCGCACATCGGTACTTGTAACAAACAACTAGCATGTCTAAACTACCGTGTACTTATCACTTGGAGTAGTTGCAGAACATAGCTTGCCGTCTCCTTGCTCTGCTTCTGAGATTAGTATGGGGAAAAATCAGAAAGAGAGGGAGAGTTGTCCGTGGACCTTATTGGAGATGTATGTTTGGCAAGCCCTTCCAAAAATGTCACGTGCTGTCCTGGGTGGTGTCCCGGTGGCAAAAGTACCGCCCTGGCACCTCGTGCCATTGAAACAGTGGTCCACCATTTGAGAAGCTTCCAATCAAGTTGGCTTCAACTTGTGTTGGTCTATTAAGCTCTGGCCCACAAAGGGTTTCCGGTTTACCTTCATGTCTCATTTGGATGAGATAACCATGTGCTGAGATGCCCTCGCTAGATCTGCAAAACTTGCCACCAACTCCCGCTCGGGCAGGACCACCAGAGGGGATTGCCCGTAGAAATTGGTTCTTGTTGGGTCACCCATACAAAGCAACCCAAATTTGTCTACGAACTTGGTCCCCCCCGACAGCCTCAAGTCCGTCCAGTCCGCCAAAAAACACGGGTGATGTCCAAAGCGGACAACCCTGGTGTTTGTCTCTCTGAATCGTGGGGGGCCCCAAAGTGGCGGACATCACTTAGGTGGGAATTCATGTCCACCGACCACTTTTGAGGTGTTTATATTTCTGTATCAGAAACAAAAATATACCAGCGTAGACCCCAAACAGCTGCGCGTCAGTTCTTGCAGCGCTCCGCTCAGTCTGGCTGCTTGGCCGCATCATAATGATGCAGGCCACATCGTAATAATGCAGGCCGCATCATGATGGTGCATGCACGATCATGCTGATGCAAGCTGCATGATCATGATGCTGGCAGCTTCATGTATGCTATTTTTCCCACACGCCGACGCCTTTTTGCATCAGCAGGCCGCATCATGATGATGCAGCCGAAGCCACGGTAACGCAAGGCATCAACACATGATGAAGGCGGCACCATGATCATGCACTCAGCGTCATGATGATGCAGGCGCTACTCAGCTCAGCAGGCTGCGACATGGTGATGCAGCATTGGGATGATCGCATCAAGCTCACGTAGGCGGCACCACCATGATGCAGACCGCATCATCACGCCCGCCCGAGAGGCGTGCAGAGCATCTGGCAGCACGCGACACACATGTGTTCGTTGCGTAAGCCGTCCGCCACCGAGACAAAACCCGAATCGCGCCGGCTTAGCAAAAGAATTCATTTGTCTCCCAGCTTGGTTAGCGCTGCCAGATGCTCTGCACGCCTCTCGCGCAGGCGGCTTAGTAAACGAATTCATTTGTCTCCCAGCCTGGTTAGCGCTGCCAGATGCTCTGCACGCATCTCCGGGCGGCTGATTTGATTCATTTGTGGGTTAGCGCTGATGCTCTGCACGCCCCTCGGTTAGCGCTGCCGCACGCCTCTCCGGGCATCATTTGTCCCCCAGCGACAGGCGTGCAGAGCATCTAGCGAGCTGGGAGAAAAACAGAAATTGTTTACTAAGCCAGCCGCGCGAGAGGCGTGCAGAGCATCTGGCAGCCCTAAACCAAGCTGGGAGACAAATGATTTCGTTTACTAAGCCGCCCGCCCGAAGAGGCGTACACGCTGACCAAGCTGGGAGACAAATGAATTTGTTTACTAAGCCGGTCGCCCAGAGAGGCGTGCAGAGCATCTGGCAGCTCCCGATCGAAAACAGGCGTGCATTCCTTAAATCAATCAAGAACCCCTACAGCGAAGCTGTTTGGGGAAAAAACACAGCCAAACTGTGTCAATCTTGCAGCCCAGCAGCCGTGGGCATTGATGCTCGCCCTGCCACCGCAGCAAATCCTCGCCAGATTTTGAAGTCGAACCTTCCCTCTCACTTCACGAGTGGACGGCCCCAAAAAGGTTCAATCTTTATGCTACTCAAATGGTCTTCCCAAAACATATCTAGGTCCTCCAGAAGAGCGGTTAGAATAAGGGTACCCTTTTTCTGTAGTCTATTTTAGTAGGGGAACCCTCCCCTCAAAAAAGTTGGTAAAAGGGCACTACTGGGGGACCTAGATATAAAAGTGAGCACTCCCTAGCCCCTCCGCAATGTTTCCCTACAATGAAGACCCAAACAAGGCCTTATTGAGGCCGTACTTGCCGAAAACAAGATGGTAGGGGGAGCATGGAAAGTATACCAGCACGGGAGGGGGGATTGGAGATTTCGATCAATCCTCACCAATCGCAAGAACACTGAACATGCCAACATTGCTGTTCTAACGAGAAACTGTTCGAATTTGATGGCCCTCTATGAATCTGTATCCTTCACAGATTTGTTTGTTCCCACCTTTGGCCCTCAACATACAGACAAGCCGAAGGCAAAACCAGTGCTGTCAAGGATTTGCAAGTTAGGGGCGATTCCTGAGGAGCGAAGGTTGTGAAGGGCACTAGGGATTATCTCCGCCCCCGCACGGCCAAAAACATTTGTGGGGTGGGGGATTCCGTATGGTTTCCCTGAAAAAACATTAACTCATCACACCTGTACTCTTAGAGGAACCCGCGTTGATTTGCCAAGTTGAGCAATTTATTCCTCAAGAATACCTTGAGTCTTTATCTGACCGCTAAAACATGGCGAAGTGCCCAGAATGCTTCGTACCCCCAAGTTTCCAACTCGTGATAAAATTCATGTTTGCCTTTGGTTTCCTTGAACGAGGGGCGGTACCAACTCAAAACGAGTTCTCATTTGAAGGCTGACCTCAAGAAGGGCGGACAATGCCCTTACTTACGTTGGTGGGGCAACCAATGTCCCGAGTTCCCGCTATTCAGTATTTGCCATCTTTCCAGCAATCATGGAAGTGCTGAGGGGGGTTCCCCAACAGCAGCAGGGTAGGATACCCCACAAAGAGCAAACCTTGTCTCTGTTTGTTTTTGTTGAGGAATCTCCAAATTTGGGGGGGGGGGGGGTCTCTTGGGTTTCCCTTGAAAGTACTCAACAAAAGACAGAACCCATGTGGAATCAGCCAGGCTCTATGTCGTCTCCAAATGTCTGAGGTCAAACTAAAGAAACCTCTGTTTTTAATACAACCACTCACAACAACGCCAACAAGAATAAGTTGCACCTGCTACAAAAGATACTTCATGGATAGCGCAAACACCTTGCGAGGTTGCTATAACATAGACTTCGCGCAAATGAAATTCGATGGCGATTACCCGTCATCAATCAGGGCAATCGCCCATGTTTGCGCGCGTAGTGAGACTCCAGGTACTTCGTAAGGATACCGCCCCCCGCTCCCCCCAAGCAGTGACAGGTCAAGCAAGATCGGCAGTTCGAAACAAACAAACATCAATTCTGGTCCAATTATAAGGCCTTCCGCAGGGAGTTCTTGTTCTGCAAACCCCGTCGCACCTCATGACGGAAAGTTCCGCGACAGGTTGGCTTTGCGCTGGTGGATTTGTGGCCACGATCAAAGCCACGAGGCTGTTCAATCGGCCCAAATCCGAAGGCTCCGAAGGCTCCAAAGGCTCCGAAGGCTCCGAAGGCTCCGAAGGCTCCTCAGTCTCCTTCACGATGGTCGTGAAGCCCTTGTGCTGATAGATCAGCTTCTCATGGTAAGCGGCCGCTTGCCTCAGATCAAGGGCTTGCAACCGCTTCAGTTGCAAGCCCCGGGAAAGCCCGAAAACCTCCGTGTCAATACGGCCTTTGTTGATAGCGCATCAAGACCCTGGAAGGATCGAACCTCGGACGCAAAGGCAAACCAGAATATACGACGTTGTCAGCCTAACTGGTGCTTCCATGATTATTTGTTTTTATGGTCTCAGTACATGTCTTGTACGATTCACATGTCCGATGTCAGTACGACTTCCGCAACAGTTCAGATTTATTTATACTTGCATGCACACATGATAAGCCTCCCACCTGTACCAGAAGCACTGGTGTAAACGAATCGTAAAGCCGGCGTAGAAACATAAATGCCAATCAGACCAAATCGTAAAAGGCTTCGCTTGACTTAGCTTCAGGTCACAGCCATAGAGGTTTGGTCAACGATTCCTTGGAAGCCCCATGGAATCTGTTCGTTGACACTGCAAACCAAACCCCCCCGCTCGAGGCCCCAAAGACCCACCGCAACCCAAACAAAAGGTCGGGTTTTCCAATGAACCCGTTCGGGTCTCCCAAAAACTTCCGAATTCTTGGGGACAGGCCGCTTGAAATTTAAATCTCGGTTGCTTTCTGCTCCCCTGCTAAAAGCTTAACTTTTAGTGGTTTAGTTCGGAAAACCCATTCGTTGGCAAAAAGTTAAAGTCCTAACATCCCTTGGCAAAATGCACCAAAGTTTTGTCAAAGCCCATGGCTGTTGGCCACCTTTCCCTTCAGGACTGCGCACCTCAAGCCTCTGAAACATTCAAACCGCAAGGAGCAGCTTCGGGGGTGAATCTCTGCCCCAAAATGTGCATTCGGGCTCGTCTTTTCTAGGGGGACCCCCCCCACAAAAAAAAGAAGAAGAAAAAACAGGACAGTGCAAAGAAAGAATGCGCTGCAAAGGGACACAGTACCCAAGTGTGTGCGACTTACACACATCCAACCGGATCATGGAGAACCAAGGCATGGGCGTTCAATCAAGTGGCTTTACTGCAATCCGAGGACACTGTTGTTGAGAACGCTCTTTCTGCGAATTTGCAAGGGCACTAGTTCCCTTTGTAGGAATCGGCAACCGCCTGCCGGAGTCGGTTTCCAACGCGTCACCCCCGAAACCGGTAAAAGCAGCCAAGGGCGCGCTTGTCGGTTCGCGCAATCCAGCTGCTCTGGCGTCTTTTCCAGGGGAACCTCAATCCGCCCATGGACCCCCCAATTGTTGGCTCATATAAATGTCTTCTTTTGAGGGTACTTCTTTTTCTTGGGGGGGGGGGGCAGTTCAAAGAGGAGAACCACCATTTCGGGGGTTCCCTAGAAAAAAGACACCCCCAAAAATAAGGCCCAAGCTTCACTTAAGCAACATACCCACACTGGCACCAAGTCTTTGTTTGAAAATTTAGATCATTCCCCATCAACTGGAGCTTCACTCAGGGAGCCTACCCCTCCTCTACCCAATTCTGGGCTCAGCAAGCCTTCGGGACCAACTTGGGCCACTTCGGGCCTTCGGGGCTTCACAGGGTCTCCGACTTGCCGCGATGAAATCAGCTCATCTCGACATCTTCCAAGGCGTGGTCCGGCCAAAACCGGCGACCCCTGCACTTTCCGCGTGAAAAGCTTTGGGGGGCCGCGAGACATCGGCCAGGAAACCCACTTGAGCTCCTGGTGCGGCACTGAGACGAAGTGGCCTGCAGAAACCCAGACGGAAAACCGCCCATTGACTCACTCACGGGTGGCCAATGCTCCCATCACAACACAAATCGAATCAAAAAAAGGGGGCACTCTTGAAAACCAATGGAACAGGGCAACGCCTTTTCAAAAGAAGAGAAACAACCAATAAAAGAAGCGCGCAACAAAGGGACTGCCCTTCAACACCAACCAAACATGTTTGCTTGTGTTTTGTTTGTAAAAAAATGGTGAACCCTCCGAAGTCACCCAGAAAGGCTGAACCTGGCTTCGGGTACCCTTTCCAACAACAGGCCCGAGAGGGTATTTCGAGGAGCCCAACCCAAAGTCTCGTTGGAGGCTTCTGAGAACCTTGGGGTTGGGTCACCTCATCCCCCCCTTTCCCATGAGCCACACGGAACGCGCCAGGCTCCGTAGGGGAGTTCTACAGGGGCTTCGCCAGGGAAACCGAAGCCCAAAAAAAAGCCATGCCGCTGGCCGCGTTTTATCAAAGTCACTCTGGTGATAAAAGGGAAACGACCACGGCTGACCTTGATCACCCCCCAGAAACTGTCGAAATCATGACAGTTACCAGTCTTCTCCATGAAAGCGGGGCCGTTTCCCTGGGCAAATTGTGGTTGTCCCCGCCCCCAGAAACTTTCTTATTGTCAGTGACTCATGGGTGTGTGTGTGTGTGTGTCCGCTGGTTGACTTTCAGCTGAGGCGCAAACCCTTTTAGTGTTTGAATCTGGATTGCTTTTTTGGGCATGAGTTTTGGCCCTATGAATCATTAGGACAAGTCTGTTCTGGGGAAGTATATCATCCGAATCATGGCATGGGTGAACGGAATTAAGATCAACCCTAAAACAGTTCCAGCTGAATATACTACATTCCGAATGGTTGTTTACTACTCCGAACAACCAGCCACCAGTCAACAAAACCAAACCAACCAGCGCTCTCCATGAAATAGGTGAAGTCCCTTGACTGACAATACTTCGGGATCCATGCAAGCTTTTGGACATAAGTGGTAAGTTTCCGCTGGGAATCTTGCCCCAGGCGCTTGCCTAAGCTTCTGCTGTCACTGCGCAGGCTAACTTTGTCTGCTGTTTGGAGCCAAAACGGCCGCAAAAGCATGCCCATGATTCCTATGTGAACAAGTACTTGTCAACATGTCAGAGAGGTGCAGTAAGTGGCATGCTAAATCACAATCTGCCACGAGGCTTGACAAAGTACTTCAAATCAGCTCCACCCGAGGATGCGTCCAAAGATGATATGTCTGCTAACCTTCAAATAGCCATTCCAAACCTGGGTCCTCAAGACTAGTCTATCGCAACAAACTTCTTTTAGAATTGCAAAACCTGGTAAATAAGACTTGGATGCCCAAGGAACCATGGTGTAGCCACGGGAAGTTAAACGGCATAAGTCCGGAGCTCTCAGATTCCCCGCCTGGGATGCCTTTTTCGTAGTGACCACTCACCCAGTGACCTGCGGTGAGAATCTTCGCGATCCGGGTTTTCTCGCGGATGGTTGACAAGTTGGAAAACCTGAGGGTGAGAATAGGTGCCACAATTCCCTTGTGGGCAAAACTGGACGAAGCTAAAACGGGTTGAGACACTGTGCAATATCTTCTCCAAGGATTCTCTGGCCACCGGTTGGTAACCCTTGGTATCTTAAGTCAAATCTTGGCTGAGCACACGTGCATCTGAAGAGGAATTACTCCTGGTGGTCCCCCCCCGGTTACCTACAACAACTGCAATCACCGGGTCATCATTACAGTTTGGGAGTCTTGTTGCGTTGCGGCAGAAAAGCCCGTTTTCGCTCAGCATCCGGATCTATCCAAGAGATGCCACCTTCCAAGGGTTCCTTCCCGTTCGAACCGTGGCCTTTCCAATCGGGCAACTAGAGCACAGGATCATGTCTAGTTCACTTTCAATGCACCGCTCATTTGCGCAAGCATCCCGAGACGGAAAAATGAGGCCAGTGAACACACACATATGTTTTCTTTCCTCAATCACGCAGCTTCACAAGTGCGATTCTTGGGGACAACTGGGGAGCAATCTGCAAACTGACTCCGAGCAGCATTAGGCTTGAATCTCCGGGCACGTACCCAGTAGATGTTGCCGGCCGCAGTTTGGGCCTTGACTGAAGCACCAGCCAACAGGATGCCCTTACATGGTTCGGAAAGGAACCAACGGCGAATCCACTGTGAAAAGGAGGTTGCCGTTTCCGGGACACTCATGCTATATATGCAAGGGAAACACTGGGAAACAACGTGCGCAAACAAATTTACTTGAGGTTGCTCTGTTGGTCCCTTGAGCATTTACTTGTTGAACACTTCCCTTTGTGGTTGATCAGCCAATGAGATAGTCGAAAAAGCCCACCTTCAAACAAAAGGCTTGGCAAAACAACACCTTTCTGTGTGAGTGATACCTCAAAGAGATCTTCATGCGTTTCACAGCGCCTCCATTCTCCTCCTTTTTGTCCAAGTACCACATGCCAGGCACCCACTCTCCTGCGAGCGTGCCCACCCATGGGCTGACCTATTTGTGGTTTTCTCGGGGATAGCGTGCCGCATTTACTATTATGATACCTGAAGCGAACCGACTCGCCTGAACAGATTCGCCTGGAATCGAACAAATCTGAACCGGGACCTTCGACAAAAACGTTCAAAGCCAATAGAAAACCCGTAACTGCTGTGCGAAACCCGAACCAGAAGAATCCAAAAATAGCGCTCCCGGACCTCAAGAAAGGAAAGTGCATGTTGGGAGCCAAAGGCTTCGGCTGGCAATGGGGTTGCCGTAAGGGGATTGCCCTTTGGCTAGTCTGCCTGAAAGGCAAACGATCAAGGGGGTTGCCCTATAATAATTAAGGGATCCGTTTGGTAAGTCTGCCCCAAAGGATGATGCCAAACGGCCAAACACTTTTTTGTCTTTTGTCCTCTTTCGGCCGTCTTTCACAACGGCAACAAACAAAAGTAGGGAAACGCAGGCAGCCAAAAAAGAGCGCGCGCGTGCCTTTCGGGCACCAGGAAGTGGTCGGCAAATCTGCCATGCCACTGAGAAAGCCGAGTGACGGGCTCCGAATTTCCCAGCCCCACGCCCGGTGGAAAGAACCGGGGGCTCACAAGGTCCAAACCCCATTGCGTTTCAATTCCGCACTGCGACCCGAACGGATCTGTTCACCGATCACGGGCCAACCCTGGAAACCACCGACTGAGGCGAACTTCCAAATCCCTCGGACACGACAGCGCTGGCGTGGCTCAAGCAGTCCAAACCCCCAGTGTGTCTGAGGGTTCGGACCCAAAATGATGCTCTTTCTTCTTGGGCTTCCCTTTTGAACCAAGCAAAAAGAAGGTCCTGAAAAAGAAACACCCCTTGGTTGGAAGGCAATAATCCATGGACCACACCCGGACCTGGATCCGGGTCTGTTTTCTGGAGCTGGGTTTGGTTTAAAGGGAACCCAGAAGGAAAACCCAAAGCCACGCTGGGTCCCGGCCCAGATCCACATGACCCAAATGTTCTCCGCTCCTTTCGACTTGTTCACCCACTCGTGCTCCTGGCACGCTCCAAAAAACTGACGAAGGAGTAGCTATCTTGAGGTTATCGGTGGGTGGGCACGCCCGTTGCCATTTGGCGCCCGAACCCCCCTGGTCTCATTGAAATGGTATCCAAAAGGAATCAAAGCCATGAGTTCAATCAATGAGTGTCGCCGTGGCTACGTGCACGTGCCCTAGACTATCCCCTATGCCTATATCGCACATATGGGACGCTGGGCCTAAATACATGATGGGCACATAGGAGAGCTTGCAATGCACTGAACAAACCAGAGAAAACCCACAGCGTCATAGTAAATGGTAGCAGCATGGACAAGTGGTGGCTCAACCTTCTATTCAACTCGGAGGCCCGAGATCTGCCAAGGGTCAAGTACTTACCAGGGCCAAAGGGATGAGTGAAATGGGGTCCAAGTGCAAACACTTGGACCCTTCAGATCTTAGATCTCAAAGCATTCTTGCGACAATCAGGGAATGTGTCAAAGCCGTTTCCAAGGGTTGGCGTCAGGGGCCAGAATGGGTCCAACTTGTTTCAGGAATGCGCCTGCGTGCCCAAAACTCCTCGGACAAGGGCTAAAGCCATGTTACCCCTGTCGATGAATGAACCCCTTTGTTGATTCAATCGGGCAAGCCAAGTTTCGGGATCAGGTATGGTTGTTGCACAGGTGTCCGATGTGGTTCCACATCAACCAGGGCCTTCGTCTCACGCTTTTGCATAAAGTGGGTTGGCTGAGGTGCATCACCTGATACACACCCAAACCTCCGCTGGCCATGGCAAAGCAGAGGCCCCTTTGTTTGGTGGATTCAAAAAGGGACGGCCAAAGGTAAATGGACACCACAGGTCTGGGCACTGGTTGACTCAAACTGGCCATTGGCCGCTGATCTCTGCCATCCGATCGATCCATGTGGGCGAAAGGCTAAATGTCTGTGGGTCAAAAATAGGGTAACCCCAAAATGGTGAAGTCATGTCTCTGAAATCATGTCTCTCTTCATGCGCCAAAAACCCTTGCATGGTAGAAAGCTGGCACGTCTATGAAGCGACGCTAGCGACAGAGGCGAAGGCTGCATTTTGGCGCCAACAATCGACTCAAAGCGAATCAACGCAGCTAATGCTGAATAGCAACGTCGTGCTTTGTCAACTGCAAGCTTACATGTACGCATACCCCTTCAGCACCAAGGCATTCAAAGATTCCAAGGTCCGGGGTTGCTTGCATTCTGTGGAGAATCACCCGTGCCGGGAAAACACCGAGACTCAAGGCCCAAACGGAAAGGGGATTCCAGCAAAATCACATACTGAACTCATCACACTAATCTGCAGCTGGTTCCAGTTGAGACATCTGAAATGAGAATTGGAACCGCAAAAAGAGGCCTACACTCGTTTTACCTCCAGGTGCGCTCTTCAAAAACTAGGACGACTATAGCTTTGTCTGTCGGTGAGATAGCTATACTTAGTGCATATGCAAAGCATTCTCTACGGTTGCGACTGACGCCCTAGTCGCCAAGAAACCTGGTTGGCACTGAACCATGTAACCCTCAAACCCATTGCTTCTGAGGCAGCTTCCTAGAATTATGGTATAACTAAGGGTGAACTCATCAGTCAGCTTCCGGTTCATGTCAAAGGTGCTTACAAGTACCATGGAGTGAACACGTACTAAGGGATATCTTTGTACCTATAATATAATGTGTTTTCAGGGCCCCTTCATGACCAAAATAAGGCGACCAAGTTGGGTGGAGGATATATGTACCCCATTCAGCTTACGATGAGGGGCTAAATGAAACTTAACACGTTGCCCCTATGATCATGGCTTGATATGGTTTTACCCCGCAAACCTTGTCAAACTCAGTAGGCCCTCACGGTTCTTGCAGGTCAACCTAGAAGCCCACAAATCACTTTGTAGCAACAAAAGCATCAACACAAGTGCACGGGAAACTCCATCTGGGGAGGAATCCATCCATTTTGGGGCTTTAGGAATGAATTGATTGGGATCCCTCAAAAGAGACGACCAGTTGGATGGTTCAGTTCGGGATTCCAGCTCACTTCCGACCTGGCTGCCTCCGGGGTAAAAATGGGAGTTCCTGGTCAGGAGGGGTCTAACCCCCGTAACAACCTGTGAGTCGGCGTCCGGGCTCGCCTTCACCGTGACGTTCGCCTGGTGCATGGTGCCCGGTGGAGGCCCCGGGTCGCAGAGCGGGAGCTGAAAGTGGTCCCAGGTGTCCTCAGCGTCAAAAACAGAATACATGTAATGTATGTAGGCATACATGTATGTGTAAGTATGTAGCGCATGTATGTACGCCTGCATGTAAATATGTATGCATGCATGTGCACGTGCATGTAAATGCGTGCCGCATGTATGCTTACATACATGCATGCATGTGCATGCTTCTATAGATATAGGACACATGTATGTATTCATGCATGTATGTGCATGTGTATGTAAATATGTACCAAATGTATGTATCTATATAGACATATAGCATAACGCCGCATGTATGGGTTTATGTGTGCACGTGCGTTTGCATGTAAATATGTACCACATGTATGTATGCATGCATGCATGCATGTGCGTGTCCGCCGGCATGTGTGTATTCATACATTGTGTGCATGCATGTATGTGTGCGTGTCTGCAAAGATCAATAACGCATCTTTGTATTCACGCATGCATGTGCGTGCGTATGTAATATGTACTGCAGGTATGTACGCATGCATGCATGTATGTGCGTGTGCATGTCTATATGTACTGCATGTACGTCATCATGCATGTATGTGCGTGTGTATGTAAAAATGTAGGTATGCGTGTATGCATCTACACTATCGCATACATGCATGCATGGCATGCATGCATCCATGCATGAATGCATGCATGCATGCAGCATGCATGTCTGTCTGTCTGTATGCGTGTAAGTAGGTATGTCCGTATAGTGTATGCATGCATGTATGAATGTACTGCCTGCATGTATGTATGAGTATGTCTGCACATATGTACGTATCCCTGTACGTATGCATGTATGTGGTATGTGTTTGGATGTATGTATGTATGTATGTATGTATATGTATATATATATATATATATGTATGTATGTGTATGTGTATGTGTGTGTGTGTGTGTATGTGTATGCGTATGTGTATGTAGGTGTACGTATGTATGAGTGTACGCCTGGATGTACGTACGTATGTAGGCATGCATGCACGTATGTACGTGCCTGAGTACGTATGTTACTTAGTTGTCCTTGTATGCATGTGTGTGTAAATATACATGTATGAGTACATACAACGTATGTAGATATATATGTATTGTTTCTTTCTATATGGCTTGTCTGCTGATATCTATCCGGTTTATGTATGTATGGGTCAGCTTGTGTACTGCTTTCATTTAAGCAATGCTAACTATGACATGAACCATTTATGCGTGAAGTGTGCGTATGATTGCCTATCTAAACGAAGGTTCCTCTAGGTGGGGGTTGTGTTTAAAGAAACAACCGAACTCACCGAAAGCAGTCCCTTGCAGGTTGGACGTGCTTAGCCCCTTGCACGCAAGCTAAAAGGGGGGATCATGTTGTTTAAGCCTGCAAAAGTTCGACTTTGGGTTCCAGAAATTTGGTAAAGATGGTTGCAGTGAAACAAATAGGAAACCACCCATGTTTCCGGGTTCCCTATATTGAAGACTTTTGAGCCATGCTAAAATCACCGATAGGCTCCTCTGCAATAACAAGCTGCTTGCGCCAACGCTTACGCGCGGCTTCCGCGCATAGGACAATCAGCTTGCGCGCAGAGGCGTTTAAATAGCAGAGCTTACGCGAGGATTGCGCAAGCCGTGCTTTGCATTCTTGCACGCCGCCACGGCGATGGCTTATGCGAGGCCTTTCTGGAGAAGACGTAGCGCTCAAAGTGCGATTCAATTCGGGCCACACGAAGTGCACTTTGGAAGCTCAGCTTGCAAATCGCAAGTTTTCAGTACAAGCGAACGTACACGATGTACACTTTGCATACCTCCAACATGGACAGCACTGTGATACACTGCATGCACTCGACTCAAAGTTGCAACTTGTCTATTCGAGTGGCTTGCGCGCAGCTTACGCAAGGATACGCGTAACAATATGTTTACGCGCGCGTTATGCGCTTGCATGTTTATAAGCTTACGCGCGCCGCTCACTAAACATGAACAGAAGGGCTTGTTGCGCAGCTCACTTGTATAGAAAACAGACGTTTGTTTGCTCAAGGTGCCACTAAAAGTGCGGTATTGTAATGGCGAGTTGGCTTTGAAACCAACGGTGCAAATTTAATAAATCACGTTCAGCAAATGCAACACAAGTGTGGCTTCCCTTCTAATTTATCTAAGGGACGTCGTCGTGCAGTCAGTTCCAGTTTGGCTTAACTTTAGCCCAAACGGGGCTCGTTGTGCTGACCATAGGTCCAATGTTCAAGGTCATGTTTTGCAAGCTGCGCCTGATCAAAATCCAGCGTTGTCAAACAGTTTACATGTTTGTGTCGATTTCACCTCAACTAAACGACGGTTCCCACAGGCAAAACCCCAAAGGTTTGAATACAACGTTGGTATGTACTACTTGGCATGGGGTTGTAGGAAGCAGTAAAGCAAGCAACAATGATCAAAGGAGAAGGTTTATGTACTGATGTGGACCTTGTATCGCTGTGTACCACAGGAATGTTGAATGAGTGGCTCGCTGGTCTTGGACATGAACCGTTTGGGTTCTGTTTGAAGGACGCCACCAATTGGATGGTGCATGTTCAAAACCAAATTCCATTTTACCTTGAACCGAAAAGTTGCTGACTGGTTACCTACTGTACAACCGGCTGTCCGTCCATCAACTCACTGCCTATCGAAGCAGATCGCTATGGCCCATGACACGGGCCGACAACTTTACGCCAACCGCGCGGGAAGAGTGGGGCAGCCCGGCAAACTTCCATTTGCTGAAGCCCCCACGGAAAAAGAATATGTCCAGTGATAGATTCCCTCCGGGAAAATAAAACATATTCTTAAGCAAATGGAAGAAGAAGTCCACGGCGAAGCCCGAAAAGTCGGAGGCGCCGCCATCCAGCCGCCGTTGGGGTCCGGGTGCCCCAGGTTCGGCAGGTAGAAGCCCAGGCGCTGCTCCAAGTTGGCCCGCTCCGCCTAGCACGCGGAAGGTCGGTTCGGGTCCGGGCCCCCCCCCGAGTGGGGGGACTGCCCACTTCCCCCAAAACACTTACATGAGTTGGGGGCGAAATCATGACATTCTCTGGCCTGAAGCCCCGATTCTCCCCTCCAGAGCCTCCGACTTGCCAAACTCTCCAACTTGCCCGGTCTCAAGCCCACTGGCGGAGTGACCCCATAGCTGTCGCTTAATGAGGAAAAAACCGAGAAACTGCAAACTCAATCCGGCTCCAGTCTGCAAAATCAACTAACATGTGTGATCAATCCCCTCAGGCAGTAGAGTTCCCGAAAACTCTTGAAAGAAGCAAGAAGTAACAAAAGCTTGACAACGGAGGTAAGCAGACCCCAAGACGAATTTGCAGGGTGTTCCCTTTAAGGGGCAGAAAAAACCTTTGGGAGTGAGGCATTGGCCAAGAGAGCCGTACCATTCTCGACCCCCCAACAGGTATTGCACTCTGCAAGTCCTCATGGGTCCCTGCACGCATCTCGCTACCTCATGCAAGCAACAACCTAGGCCCGTCCAAGTATACCCACCTTCAACACCCCTGGGACGGGAGGCTCCGAAGCTCCTAGGGAAATGCAGTGGGAATGTGTCCCAGGTCTGGGCCGATATGTCGGTGACCGACTCATTGTTGCGCCGCGGCGCAGCTTTGGGCTGCGCCGCGAAGATGCCGAGGCCGGCCAAAGCCACGAGAGTCGCGGCCAGCAGCGCCCATTGCCTCAGCTCCCGTTGGTTGGGAGGTAAGTTCCCACTTACCACAGTCAAAAATCCAAACCGAGCTCAGCATCCCACTTTCTTGTTTACCGTCAAAGAAACCCAAGTGGTTGAAGGGAACAGACTTAAGACTTTGACCCCGGCAAAGCACAAAAAAAAGCACGAAGACATAGCCCATCTGGTAGAAAGGGAACACTTGAGGCACCCCAAACAAAAAGGGACGAAGGGTGCCTCTGAACAATTGTCGCAATGGGAATGGTGCACAACACCTGCTTAGCCTGCATGGATTCCGATTTGGAGGCGTGTTCAGTCGTAATCCAACGGATGATAGCTTCGTGGTATTGGCTTTTCAGCTAGCCACATTAACCAAGTGTCTGAATGAAGTGTTCCTCTCGTACTGACTTCGACTACTGTCGCAGCATCAATTTCATGAGTAGGGTAAAACTAACCTGTCTCAACACGGTCTAAGCCCAGCTCAAGTTCCCTATTGGCGGGTAAACAATCCGACACTTTGGGACTTCTGCGTCTCAATGACCAGCCGATTGAAGCTTCAAGAAGGATGAGCTGTATACAAGCCATATATGGCAAGCAAGCCGATTTAAGCTTCAAGAAGAAAGGATCAAGAAGCAACGTCGCTATGAACGCTTGGCTGCCACAAGCCAATTATCCCGGTGGTAACTTTCTGACACCTCTAGCTGAATATTTCTCAGACCTAAAGGATCGATCGGCCATGTGTTCACAGATTGAAACAAATCTGGAAATCAAAATCAAGCAAGCTTTTCCCCTTTTGGTCCACATGAAATGTATGTTCTCATCGAGCGAGCTTGCCTTAGGACACCTGCATTATTATAGCAGATGTGCCGCCCCAGCCAAACTCCCTACATGGCTATGTCTTCCGCGCAAATCAGTTGCGAAACAAGAGAAACTTGAATCGAAAACTCGCACGATTCGAGCTTCAGTCTCACGGAGCAAGTAAAATAACATTATATAAGAGTAGTGGTATTTCAAGATCACCGGAGCTACTACTTCTGCTACACCTCCTAAGTCATTTCACAAAGTCGGACTAGAGTCAAGCTCGACAGGGTCTTCCTTCTCCGCTGCTTACCCCAAGCCCGTTCCCCTGGCTGTGGCTTCGCTGGCCGTCAATGCTGGGTCGGTCTGTAGAAAGCAACACGACAGCAATCTCTTCTTGGAGTTGGTGTCATACCCAAACTCAGACTTCAGACGAAAGACCCGAAACGAATGACGCTGGTGCCCCCCCTATGTCTTTATGGATGCGTCAAAAAGCAGTAATCCTCGCCACTCTTCCAAACAATCGAGACCAGTTTCCACGTCCCGCATCCAAATAGGGACTCTTCACCTTGATGCTATGGGGGTGGCTTGAAGGTGCTGGAAAGCATCTAAGAAGCGAAGGTGGGCTTCGCAAGTCGTGCGCTTAGCGGCCTTGCAGCCATGGACCAAAAGACGGGCCGCTGAAGTTTCAAGGGAAGCTCACAACCTCCAAACAAAAAACGGCTCGTGGCTGGGTTGCTTGTTACTTTTTGTTTCGTTTTCTCTGAGGGCTTGGGCGAGAAAGGGAATCCCCGCAGAAGGGAACAAACCACGGAGCGCCACTGGGCGAGTCTTGCGAGTTAAGACAGACAGTCCCCGCTTCAGGGAAGCCTCCACGAGGAGTTCCTGGCCCAAGGTGGCCCTCCGGGGGAGTGAGCATTCCTGAGAGTCCATCTGATGCATTTCCGAATTCGCAGGAAATTGCCACTTGCTTCATTCTTTAAGTTAAACTTTGCTTGGGATCTGTCATACACCCCTCTAAAAATCAAAGAAGCTATGATGTCTAAGGAACCGTATGGCTGGGAACTGCAAGGAACCTTCATTCAGCTGCTTCGTTGGTCGCCTGCGCCGTAAGAAATGTTTATCGACTTTCTGAGGCCCCGCGCCATGTCCAGCTCTTATTGCATCGGACCTGCGCTCCAGGGCCCTGGGGCCCTACCCAACCTTGTTTTTGAGCGGCCCATAAAAAGCCTAAGAAATAGTCTAAGTCTAAAACAGTCAGGCCTGGAAATGCGATACAAGATCTATTCCTTCAACATCTAGACTTATAGCAAAGTCAGTTGAATACCTGGGTCTTCCATTTGGTCACTTTTTGGGGCACTGAGCATGTTGTTTGCTTGTTTCAGATTTTAAGCGGAAAAAACAAAAGTGAGCGGAAATCTTGATTTGGCATGGTTTGGCAAGTTTTCTCCCAGAAAATGAGCGGAAATCGGCGGGAAATGAGCGGAAATTTGCGGACACGCACCAGAACCATTTTCCGTTGTTTCGAAATGAGCATTTTTGGATGAAATGAGCTTTATTTTTGCTCGGAACGGGAAATCCAACAAAAGTGCCCACGGAAGACCTAGGTTTTTGAAATATGATGTCAGCCACTAGTTAAAATTGCGGCCAGAACGTCTTAGTTACTTGCTCTCTTGGTTCATCCTTGGAACGTCCCGCGCAGAATATCAGTCCTTATACGAATGGAATTGCATTCACAACCATAACTTCTATAATATGATGTAAATGGACACGTGCAGGCAAAATGATGCAAGTGGTGGATGCATGGATTTGATGCAACCATTAGTTTCTTTTGAACCAGCAGTAAACTACACGCAGCATTCCCTGCCACAGCCAGCCGCCCCCCCCCCTTCCCCCGCCCCAACCCGCCTGACCACCGACCCCCAGTAGGGAGGCGGTTTCGCGCTCCTTCGGCGAGCGAAGGCTTTCAGCCGAACAGTTGCCGATTGGACCACGATGACAGTGACTCAAGAAAATGAACCGTTCTTTTGAACGACTAACATTTGGTCTTCCCAAAAAGTAAGTCCAGGAACTCAGGAAGTGAGGTGATTCCACGTAAATCCCAAAGCAACTGAAGTAAAAGGGCCAAGTGAAGCAGAAGGGTGAATAGAAGCTTAACCCCATGCTGTGTCGACTAAGCTAACGCTTACTCCTTCCCCTTCGGTGAAGTACAATCATAGCTGTCAATACTCGGATCCGTCTTTCTATATTGCTCCAGTTGTTGGGTTTGAACTTTTAGCCTTTGCTTGGCCTGCTCAAAGGAGCAGGAGTTTGCAACAAACAGGCGTGGGCTTTTATGGGGAATTCCATCGATCGCGTGACACTCCCATGATGTCCCTGGATTTACTTGGGATACCTTCATCCACCGGGGTCCCCAAATTCCCTTTTGGGTGCTTCTAAACATCTCGGGCCCGGTTGGTGCATGTGAGTACTTCATGAACGAGGCCTTCAAATTAAACATCGCGGCCTTCATTGTGTCAGGCATGTGGGCAATTCGCCCGCCTTCAAACCAGCGCCGTAAGGATGTGAAATTGCATGACCCCAACATAAAGCCACATGAAGTGCCCTGGTCAACGAGAGAGCATTTGGGATTGGTGAGGCCCATCAACCTCTTAGAGCTTTAGATGTCCAATGTGCGCGTGTCTTCTGTTTAGGGGAAGATACCTGGTATTCCCTTCGATGTCCCTTTGAAACCACCAAAAAAGAGGTACCCTCCAAAAAGAGACAACTACCCATGAAAAAGTTCCTGGTCCTAAGGGCAGGCGCGTATCTTGAACATGGCCATGCACCACGCAACGCCTTTGGCTTAGGCATCCCTCGGTTTGTTTCGGAACACGGAAGTCATCCACAGCCCAATGGCTCATGAAGATGGAAGCAACTCGCAAATGATTTCCTGACAGCCTCGATTGCGGCCAACAGTTGGGACACCACCAGAAGAGCCTAGAATTAAAACAACTCCAACCGGCGAACTATAAAGAGCTTTGATCTTCTAGGAGACCGACGGGCTACCCCAAGAAACGAGGACACCCCCAAAAAACGCAGGAATCCCTCAAAAAAACCGAAGGAAACCCTAAGCCAACAAGATGAGCAGGTTTACCCCCAAACAAATGGAAGGAACGCAAAAGATGGCCCCCCCTGTTGGGCCTAGATACTGAGTCGTTCCCCGGTCCTCAAATATGGAGGGATTTCACGGACCAATCACGACCAACAGAGTCACCAACACAAAACACAAGCCCTGGGTAACTGCGTATGGCAGATAATGGAGTCTAGTTTGAAACCACCTTCTGAAGGGTGGCTAAGTTTTGGTGCCCGCAAAGGGGGGGGGGTCTTCGCAGCTTCACGCAAGAAAAAGCCGAGCCTCCGGGAAAGTCGAACGAAGCCCGCGAGCTGAGTATCCTGGCGGGGGGTCATTGTCAAAGTCACGCCCCAAACTAGGAGAACCCCCAGCTTCTGACTTTAACCTCCAGAAACAGTCAAAATACCTCAGAAAATGCACGGTTTTCCCACTGATTTCAATGAACAGGGTCGAGTTGGGCAACTATCTTTGCAGTTTCCTTTGGTGAACTTGCTCCAGGGGTCCGGCCATACGAAACATCAAAATGAAACTTGACCAAACAGAGGGCCCCTGGAATACACCTCGGGTGGTCGAGATGACTTGCAAAAGTCAAACTCTTTGGCTGCCACACAAAAGACACAAAACCGCTTTCGGCTGGTCAACAAATAAACGGATATGCTCTTGCCGTGCTTAAAGTGAGAATGCCTCCCCAAACAGCAACACTCAACCGGCCCCTGATTCGCGAACAAACTGCCAAAGTCACAAGGCAGTGTAATTACAAGAAACATGCAAAGAATCCAGACGGCACTATCCGCACCGTTTTCTTGCAAGGAGACTTTCCCACATCGGGTTTCAACTGTGGCTCATTCAGGGAGGTGGACTCTACGAGTTTGGAGCCTTTCGGGAATGGTAAGGAGAATCACACCAAACTGCAACAGGAATTCGTCTTGCAACCAGAAGCAGAAGAATAGAATCCTATCCACCCTGGGAACCATTGAGACAAAGTCAAGCCTCGTACAATAATCTTAGCAAAGTCTATCCAAAACCATGAAACCAGACAGGACTCCAAAAAAGGGCTCACTGCCTCCATCTGGCATAGGGACAAAAGGAAATCCCGTGCACCACAATTTACCAGCACAAGCCGAACCGAAACCAAGGTGAGACAAGCCGTCGGAACAAGCCCGGAAGATGGTCCAAACGTGGCCATGTTCCTGGGGCGTCCTTGTTGGCAACAGCTCTGGGAATGGTCCCAACTCCAACCTGCGGGTTTTCCTTTATCACCTCAAAAAGGGGTTTCACCTCAAAAATCGCCGAGCCGCCCATGAGGTGGCCGTTGTTATCCCTGGTGTTTTTGGGGTCGAGGACTCGCCCGTCGATCCCGGCCTAGTCCCCGCCAGGGCAGGCGAACCTCGCCCTCGAGGTCGGGGTCCCTGAGATCGAGGTCCACATCGGGGGAAGGCGGGGGAATGGGGGGGATGAAACTAGCCGCACGGAACCATGGGACCCATTTGGGTACCAAAGGGCTTTGCCGACCGGGAAAGACTCCCCAAAAAGACACCGGCCAATTTGGGCGTGCTTGATTCTTGTCCAACCTGGTTCGAGGGTATTGCTCTTTCGTTGGCATATGGACGTGGTCCCAGTTTGGGAACCCCGTTCAGTTGGTGCTTAAAGGGAAACCAAACACGCCTGGCCACACAAGAAGAGGATCCTCAGCAAGGGCTTGCTGTCAAACCCCGCGACCTTTCTGTCAAGATTATATCAGCTCAGCCTGAATCGGCGGTGTGGGTCGGTGAAGGCAACTCGGGTGGCCCCAAATCGCATGTAGAACGCAACACGTCTTTAAATCCCCAAGCCAACCAATCCAAACCACATTGTAGGACATGTGACCCAACAAATCGAAGCCAACGAAACCCACGGATGGCAAATTTCCCGAACCCCTGGACCATCCGCGTCCGAGCTGCTCGGGATCCACAGGCAGCAGCCCTTGCGGCCCCGGCATGACGCTTTTTCCACACCCAGTTCGGTTCCCGAGTCCTTTCACATCTGAAACCCTAGAGTAAGCTTCGGGCAAGGGTATGGAATGATTCCCTTCCGGTAGGGATCAATTGGGGTTAAAGGTATCATTGGAGCCTCGAATTCCCATCCACAGAAAGTTGGAACTTGGATACCCACGGCTAAAGCCTTGTACAACCAAGGTTTGTTCACCCGGCTTGACTTAGAACCAATAGAGTGTCAGCTCGGCTAGATGTCAGATTGTCGTCCTGCTCGGATCACATTTGAGCCAGCGGCCGGTGCTCGCGGGCGGAAAGCTCAGAACAAAAGAGCGCCGCGGGGGATTCCCGACATGTTGCAAGTTAACCGACCGCAAATTGGTAACAGGCGGGTTTTCCCTGTTCCCTAGTTGCATCAAGGGAATTGAGCATGTCGTCAGCCTTCTTGGACCAAGGTCAAGTATCTAAGTGGTTCACGTTTGTGGTCTTGAAGAACTCTATGGTTGACTTGCCGTGGTTCTTACTGCCTCATTCGGGTTCGGTCCTATTAAAAAACACTGCATTGTTGGGGTCACAAGGAGTCAGCAGCACGTAGGCATCTCATCTCTGCCGACCTGACCTAGTTGCAAAGTCCATGCTCAAGGCCTTCACCGGATCAGGTCAAATCGAGCAAGTTGGTCAAGCTCCGTCACTCGGCCCTTCGAGTGTACTCCAGTGTGGTTTACTGGCCACCTCAATGCCCGTCGTTTGCTTTTGCGAGTCCTCCACCTAATTGGGACCTGTGATTCGCGTGTGTTTCCGGTTTCTTGCTAACAAGGAGGCCTGGAAATTGCAAAAACATATCCGTCGCCTTTCGGCTCACTGTCATCTGTCTGGGATTTGGCTTCGCTTGTGGCTTATGGCAAGTGATCCCCTGCGCTCACGCGAAAACTCTGCCGGCTTGAGGAAGTTGCGTGCGTGAAGTTAAACTATGGGCGACCCTACGGCAACCGCTTCCTTTTCCCCGAACACCAAGAAACATCCAACACAAAGCACCGGTTCACGAGAAATCTGGGTACATGTTTATTCACCTTCCTAGGGGCGACCCCCAAAATATGAGATTCAAGCCCTTTAAGTCACCATAATGACGATCCATCGCGCTGCAAGCCAAGGGCCTGCCTATGCCCCAAGGAACAACCAGTTTCAGAACAAGTTAACTCTGTTTTGCCTGTGCGGCGACACTGAACAAACACAAATAGCTATGATCAGTCGTGACCATTTCTTGACCATTTCCCCACAAGATTGATCGGCAGCAAGGTTTCAAGTCAGTCCACGTCCCTTTCCGTTTGGTGCGTTTCAGCCTAAGACCTGCCCGGAACGCACTCGGAGGTCAGACCACATCCGAGCAACGGTTTGGGACCTGGCAAAAAAAAAAAAACATCAATGGCAATTTGCTAGTCCTGACCCGATTTGTGGCACCAACGGGTGCGACCAATTGGATCACCTCCCATCCCGATCGATCGACCGGGGCCAAGACCCCTGGGACCCTCGGTTTGTGTCAGGAAGTCGTGCAGCTTCAGCTCGGCCACCGCCGCCCTGCAGATTTGCATCTTTCGCTGCAGTCGTCCACCCTTCCCATAAAAGACTCCAAAATGGACTTGCCGGATGATTCTCATTGATTTAAGCTGGTGGAATTACAGTAGGCTTGGTGAATCGAGAAGCTTTGCAGTGAAACAAATATAAACATATATCATATCACGGACTCTCGCAATGTCTGCATTGACGCCAGCCCATGCAGACTCCACGGGTTTTGACGCTTTTTCGGAACCGCCGAAGCAGGAACAACCACCCCAGCCCCTGCCAACCCTGTTGTGACCAGGTCCTGGAAGGGCAAAAGTGTCTGTCCTGTTTGGAGGGTACCCCTTTGTCAGAAAGCTTTGAAGGGAAACCGACAGGAAAATCACCCATTGTTGGGGTTCCTTAAGACAGACACACAAAAATACTGGGACAAACCACCCAACAACTTGTGCAGATCAATGTTTGGCTAGCGCAAGCTCCGTCGCCGGCCTCTGTGCCACGTCCACCCGCAGGAGCCGCACTGAAGCGCTTGAAGTGGCAGACATCTCCAAGGCGGTTTCTGCCTGGCCCCAGAAGGACACCCAAAGAGCAAATGATGTCCAAAATCTTCCTACGGTAGCAAACCATGCCATAGAGTGCAGAGTTCTCAACTTGCTATAGTTGGTTGGTTTTGTGTTGAGGGTACCCATTTGGTGTTGTTGGAAACCAAAGGGACCCGAAACATGGGTTCCCCTACTTTGGACAAACACCACTCTGCACGAGCTGGGCTTCCGTATGTGAGCCTTGAGCGAGTGAAGGACTCTGGCGAGCCGAGGGGTTTGGCTGCACAGAAAACCATAGCAAATTAATGGAGGAGACTTTTCCCCCAAAAATGTGTTTGCTGTGGCCTCCACAAGCAACATGCTCGCGATTATTTGCATGATTTGTTTGCGTTTAGTAGGACTGCACACAACATTTAGCAAGATCTACAATATCCCTGGAGAAGGGACTTGGAAAGGGGACAAGTGTTCCTTGACTACCTCACCAGCTCCTTGGAAGGAAAGCAATTGCCCACTGCAACCTGCCCAAAGACCTGCACAACCGATTCATTTACAGGACATGAGGGACTTTGAGCGGAGGATCTTCATATATCAGAAGCTCAGTTTTCTCCCTTTGAGTTTGTTGTGAGTTGTGCAGACCATCACCGGCCCTGATTTGTCCTCTGTGACGTCCAGATTCTCTCAAGTAAGCTTTACCCATTTGTCATCCATTCGTTCAGGTCCTCCACGAAAGTAACCTCAAGGGAGATTCTGTGAAATTCCATGGCTTCAACAAGTGCCCAAACGTACTTGCAGGTTAGCGCCCGATTGGGGCACGTCAGCGGCACTGCTTCGATACCCTTGTAGGCTTCGGTTGGGGCTCTCCCCAGTCTAGGTCCATCCGGAAACCACCCTTTCGCAGGGGAAAAGGTGACAGAACCTCATACCCAGCTCAAATCTCAATCCACAGAGCCTGTGATGGAGCCTGTGACACCGGCCTTCTGTGCGTAAACAATCGACGCAAAGGCATGCAAAACGAAGACAAAACAAACATGATATCCGTGGGAAACACGCAGCTTCATCCACCTCACACATACACACGCACACATTTCGTCCAGCGACATGGCCTTTTCGGCGACACCATGGCTGGTCCTATTGCTCTTGAAAACAGCCAAGTCGCAAGAACAATAAGAAGCAATCTCTTAATCTCCAAGCAGAACAATTTACAGGCATCTGTTCAGGACCACCGCCTTAGAAAACGATGGCGATCAGGCCGCAGCACCTCCACAATGTCACCATGCCCTGGAAACCAGCTAAATGCAAAGGAGCGAAACCGACAGTGAAGCCCTTGATCTCGTCAGCACCAGACCGGAGCAAGCAATGCACCACTTCAACACGTCCTTTCAACCGTTCTCGTTGCCTCTGTCCTTGTTAGCCCCAGCCTCAACCAGTTTCACAAGAAGCAAATCCTTGTTAGCCCCAGCCTCAACCAGTTTCTCAAGAAGCAAACGGCCCTTGTGAGCAGTGTAGTGCAAAGGTGCATCACAACAGCGTTCGCGCTTGTCCTCCTTGACCTTCATCAACTCAGTCACAACTGGCGAGTGGCCAAATTCAGTAGCCGCATGCGAGGGTGTAGAGCCTCTATTGTTGTTCTTGTCTTTGTCAGCCTCCAACAAGCAGCGCAGAACTTGAACATTGCCTGTGTGAGACGCGAAATGCAACGAGGTAGTACTGTCATTGCAGCCTGTCCTTGTCGGCACCAGCTTCCAGCAAGCAATGCACTATCTGCAATTGTCAAAATTGGACCGCGACATGAGGGATGCTTCGCCCCTGCCCATATGCCGTACAAGGTTCGGGTCATGCGGCTTATCCACAAGCCGGAGAAGTTCTGACAGGCTACCGCTCTGTGCCACCTCAAAAAGCGTCAGCTCTTCCGGGCCCGCCTTTACAAATCCGTTCAAGACTTGCGGCTCGCGTCGCTCCAAGGGCTGTCCCGTCCAAGGGCACAGCTCCCACACACCAAACAAAGCTGCCTGAAATGTCCAAGCTGCAAGCATCTTGCCAAGTCCTGCCTTAAGACGTCTACAAAACATGCGCCCGTGGTCCGAAGCTCCCGATTTTCTTCCCACCACTCTGCGACGTCAGTCACCTCCATGCCAAGCAAAGGCCGTGGCTTAATGTCGCTGGTTCGGGTATCGCAATGCCAACGAAGAATGCGTGCCCTCGACGGTGATCTCCCTTGAGGGGCGAGTTCTCCGGTTTTCCGTGCGAAAGGGCGTCTCATTCAGCGACGGGAGCGGCTCACGCCTTCAAAACATGGCAAGGACTTGGACTTGAAAGCATGAAACGTGCGGAGAGCTTCCGGAACTGAGCAATGAACCTGGTGGTCCTGTGTCACCCCCTTGGGAGAAGTTTGGCATACCACCCAGTCGCATCCAGTCGCCCAGTCGCCCAGTCGCCGGCCCTGGCTGCGGCCTGTCTTCGCGAGAGCAAGGCCACCTCTGCCCCTGGGAAGAGGCTGAGAGAC